GGTGGTTTGGTTTTGCCTGGTCTGCTGGATCTGGGAAGCCCAGAATCTTTTCACCCGAATCCCCAGCTCTGGCACCTCTCACCCTTTCCATGCCTGTTTACTCAACATGCCACAGCCATACTAAACTTGTCTTGGAAAGCAGCTGGAAGCTTCCAGGGTAATGCCATTACTAATCCAGCTGCCTTACAGGACCACTATTCCTATTCCCCACCACCTCTCAGGTTCTGTTGTCCCTGCACAATCCATGCACACTCACATTAGGCTCACTTCTGGCTATACCCAGTGATGGAGTTGCTTCTTTCTAGTGAATAACTGGGATCCCCTAGGAATCCTACAGGTCTGAGCTATTCTTGTGGCTGCAGGTAAGGAATTTTCTCCTGGGGTACTGTCTGCAATCTCCACCTGGAGCCAGCTCTGTTTTCTCACAGGCCACACACCTCTAATCACAATAGCATGCAGACAGGTCAAGCAAAAACTGGTGTTCAGAAATGAGACCAGAAAATAGATCACATTCTGCTGCTCACAAATCCACACCAGGAGATGAGCTTGGCTTTCCTGTTCAAGGTACATTTTGTTTCCATGTGCACAGGTGGGTTGCAGGAGGAGCCTGAAGCATCTTCCTCACTCTCTGCTTGTGGTTGAAGCCAGGTCTGCGTGGTCCTTTCCACCAGTGCCTAAATACCAGCATGGAAATAGAGGATACATGACACAGAGGGAGCTTCTCTCTATCAGATCACACTGACAAGGGAAGTTAAAAGCATTGCAAAAGATAACTAGGGAAGTTGGAATTAATTTTTTTATTACTACATATAGGTCAGCTCTTCAGCTGGGGGAAGAATCCTCAATATTGAAGTGTCTTGTTACAAACCAACCATCCTTCACTTTTGTGTCTTTGTTTTGAACTACTGTGCAAGGGGATAACCAGCTCTAGCATGGAATGTAGAGTGGACTGGGGACAGCTCCAGGGCCTGCAGAACAGGGACAGCCTCCAACACCTGGGACAGGCCAGTGTGGCTGAGTGTCCAGGTGAACAGGCCAGGGACCTCCCTGCAGCCCATCTCCCTCTGTGGTCAGTGTCTTGCACTGGAAGGTAACACATGAGCTTTGCTCACAGCCCTCAGAGCCCACTTCAGGATGCCACGTGAGGATGTAGCAGCCTGCACACTGCAGCACATCCCAGAACTTCTATTAGAAGCTGCCCTGGAGTTTCAGATCTCCTCACCCTACTGAGTGCCTCAGCCTTGATGCTTTGTTGAGCTTTCCCACTTTAGTGGTTCCTGATATCTAGGAGCAATTTTTAGAATTTGTAACATTTGAACCAGTGTTTTCCGTAAATGAGGATATTGAAGAACACGGAGCTGTCTGCTGATGTACTCTTGAGACCCAGGGTGCTACAAGGACAAAGAAGAACCTGTGGAACCCCTGGGAGCAGCCAAGCTCCAAAACTGCTGCTGGAAGAAAAGCTACCGAGTGGCCTTGGCAGCCACAAGTCAGGCCAAATAATCCTCTTCCAGCACAAGCTCTGCCATCTCCCACAGGAGTCTGTAAACATTGGAAGGTGAAGGGTTTGGGATTAGCCATGGCAGGGGATGGGAAAGCCACAGTGTCCCTCCATTCACACTGTCCCTTCTTGCTCTGGTTCTGGACAGGCCCCGTGCCTGACCTCCCTCCCTGCAGCTACAGCTGCCAAAGCCAGAAACTTCTCATTGTTAAAGCTCAACTGGTTTTCTAAAAACAAACTTTCTAGCACTTTTACATAGAGTGAATAACCTCTTTTAAAGGAGTGTTTTGGGGGCTGTAAACAAGGTTTTTAAATTGTAATTAAGTGCCATTAGGAAATGTATGGTTCATCACTAAAATTAGCTCTTGCAAAATGAAGTTCAAATTGAAAGCATCTTTTATAATGAAGTTGTTTATTAAAAGCATTTGGATCACCTACCCCAGATGTCTTCATGGAGGGGAGTTTGGGTTTTGATTGGATTAAGACAGAATAGAATCATAAGGCAGGTCAAAGACACAGTTCTCTACATGAAGCCACAGAGGTTTTTAAATTTCTGCCAAGCAAAGAATTAGACCCACAAGAAAAAAACCCAGCACCCCACTGGGGAGGCAGCCACAGCAGACACCATTATCCCCTGTCAAGGAGAATAATGTTTGTTAGACAGAAAGTTCTGGTCACTTGGTTTCACTAAAATTTCCAGCCCATGTGGCAGCATTTCAGACAAGTTCAGCCCACTCCCCCTCCCAAAAAAACCCAACATGCTCTGCTCCCCACAGGCAGGAGAACCAGGACCAAACCTCAAGCTACAACTGGCTGCAGACACCAGCAGCATTTGAAGATGAAACAGGGCAAAGCACACAGGGCCCTCTGGGGATTCTCCTTCAGAACACGGATTAAAAGCTGACAGCCATGATCAGTGTTAGGTGCTTGTCTAAGAATGATCTAGTTTTCAGTTCTAGTTTTCATTCCTAATTCAGCCACCATTAAAACGTGACCTTTCCTCAGTAGCTTTCCCCTGGTGCTGAGGACTGTGAAAGAACATGAATACACTCATCTGCCAAAAATGAGAAATAAGTTCAACATGGATTGTCCTGGTGCTGGAGCTGAAGCTTCCTTTGCCTTTTTAAAGGGAGAAGGGACTATTCTGATAATTTCTGAGTTTTGATTCAAGTATTTGCCAGCTCTGGTCTCACTCACAGACACTCAGCAGCCCCTGACACTAGTCTCTGTAACCTGAGGGAATCACATCCATTGCTCTGCCGGGCAAACCATGTCAGGAGAAGGGAATTTGCTTTGCCTCCCTCAGCCAGCACTCCAGCAGAGGCTCACTGATCTCCTGCCACAGACCCCCCTGCAGAAACACACGAGCCCTGGGAAGCCAATGGAGCTGGAAGCCAATGCTGAGGGCTCAGCTTCCACAGCAGCACTCCTCAAACTCCCTGCCGAGCTGTCCTCTCCCCTCTGCTGCTCTAAAGCCCTGCCCAGCACTGCCATCCAACAGTTCTGCCACTCATCCATCAGTGCCACACATCAAACAATGCCTGACACAAGACACGAGTTGCTCAAGTGATCTTACCCAGCAGCACAGCAGCAGCAGATCCAAATGTCTCAGCTGGTGGCATAATTACTATATATGGCAGCATTCAGGGCATGCCACACTGGGAGAAACTTAGCTTACCAGGAGAAAAATATTACAAAGAAAGCCAGAGTATTCCAAGCTCTGCTTCTGGCTGAAGATGCACATCACAGACACAGATGTCAAACAGGCCAAGTGTTACAAAAAAAAATTCTCCTGAAGTGGCTTAGGAGAATCCAAAAGAGCAGGATGACAGGACAATGGCAGATTTATTTACAATAGGACACAAAGAATACATACATTAATTAAAAATTACAAAGAATACAGAGAAAACACTTCAGGGAAGGGAGAGAAATCAATGCTGTCTGAGCCTCTCCACTGGGGCAGGGGCAAAAGAAAAAAAGAAAAAAAAAAATCAATGAAAATCTCAGAGAGGGACCTCAAATCAGAACTGACACAGGATTCCACATCACAGTTGGCTCACACATCCCCTCTTTTTTTCAATCCATGATCCTTGGCTGATTAGACTGGCATGACAGGCAGGGCTGACAGAAAGGGACACAGGCCCTTGCACGGACCTGGTGGAATCTTATGGCAATTGGGGTTTAAAAAGGCCCCAAAGCCCTCCCTGGGAGCAAGGAGGGCTTTGGACAGTTTTGGGTTGGAATGATGTGACCTGTGGCAGCTGGTCATTGGAAGACCTTACTCCAAGAAAAATTTTCATAGATCTCACAAAAAAACCCTCTCCATTGTAGTCCTGGCTGAATCCAGCAAGTCTGGGGTGGAGGGAGCCTTCACTGCAACATGGAACCTTTTTACTGATAAACATCACTGAAGTGAGCAAAAAAAAAACAAAACAAAACAAAACAAAANAACATGGAACCTTTTTACTGATAAACATCACTGAAAAAAAAAAAAAAAAAAAAAAAAAAAAAAAAAAAAAACAAAACAAAAAAAAAAAAAAAACCAACCACCAAACCACAACTCAACTTTAACCTCTTTTAAAAAGAGCTTCCCATGGGCCGATTCAGGCATCAAGCCATGGGAAAAGAAGAACCCATGTCAGCTATCCAGGAGAGCCTGGACTGTTTTTTGTGGAGAAGAACAAAATACAGCTATGGGGTGTACACTTTTCCTGTTCCCTGGAGGTAGAGAATTTCAGAGGAGGAGCAGAGAGCAGCAAGGGCAGCTGGAGCACAGGGCCAGTGAGAGAGCCCCGCTCCCAGCCATGGGACAGCTCACGGGGCCTCCTGCCTGTGCCAGCCCCCTCAGCATGGCCTGCACTGCCCTTGGGCAGCTCGGGCCCAACTCTGCCTCACATCACTTGGCACTAACACCACGGCACCACAGCCATCTCCTGCAGGCTCTTCAGGATCCCAGTGGCATTCCCAGGAAGGAGCCTGCCCTGATTCCTCACATCCAGAGCAGGGCTATTGACAGAACAAACTCTTGTAGTTACCTCACGCATCCTTCCAGTCCTGTATTCCAGCACAACCCCGTCACTTCCACCAGGACCTTTCGTCCTGCCTTCTGAAGGAGAGGCAATCCCACCCTTCCACAGCGGCCTGTGCTGTCCGAGGCTGGAGGGAGGAAGAAGTGATGCTGAAGGTTGCTCAAGCTCTCTCAGGGTGAAATTGCACTTCCCAGGCTCTGGATGGCACCTCCAGCAAATTGTAAACAAGCCGAAGCCGGGACCAGAGTGCGCCGGACTCCCGCTGGGTGAGCCTTTAGGCTCCGGTTATTCTGCCATAGTCAAGCTCCCTCTTCTGTGCAGACACGAAGGCGGGAGAAAAAAACCCAGTCTGATACTTGTCTGAAGAGTCTCCCTGAATCCTAGAGCACCCCAGGGGCTGGAAGAAAATTATTTCACAAGTGTTTCCACTGCTGTCTCAAATCCGTTCATCATCAACATAAAAAAAAGGATGGATTAGCAAAAAGGGGGTTTACTTATACAGAGGGATATTTCTCTGCTAAAAAACTCCCTCAAATATGGAACAGGATAATAAAGTTAAAATGTAAGTTATCTACAGACCCCTTTTCCCCGCAGAAGTAGCCCAGAATCCATGTACACTGTGCCAAAGTTACATTCCAAATCGAGGAGTTAATTATTTCTCTTGTGACTCTCCCACTGGATTTTTGTTTCCTTAAAAAGAGCTGGGAGAAGATGCCCCTGTCCCTCCTGGGAGGACACATGTTCAGAGGTGTCTGATTCCTGCTGGGGGATTCCAGCTTCAGTCGATTTTCACGGCGGCGTAGATCTTCCGCACGAACATGTAGGCTGCGTAGAAGCCAATGGTGCCCGTCAGGAGCCAGAAGGACAGGACCATGAGGGCAGTGTAGCCAAAGTACAGTAAGGAGGGAATGAACTCAACAATATCCAGCTGAAATAGAAGAGGATGAAAAAAGTCAGCGAAATAACACACACAGATGACAAACCAACCTCTGCAAGGGAAGCTCTGGCAAAGGGAGGAAAACTTTCATTTTTGTCCAGCTGAAGGGAGAGCCCCTTTGAGGTGGGGTCAGGGAATGCTGCTCTGCACAAGTCCCGGGGCACTGACACCCTCCTCTCCTGTCTGGAAGGGCTGTGAGTTCTGCCTTGGGCTGGCATAGGCAGACTGGGACTTAGCAGACCCACCATTTCCTTTCCCAAATCCCACAGTCACCCCCAAGAACGTGGCACTTTCACCCAGGAGGAATACCTTGTTCACAAAGTAGAAGACAGCATAGATCAGCACATAGAAGGCAGATCCTCCAGACACCAGGAAGGTCCTCCACCACCAGCGGTAATCCTGACAGGATAAAGAGACTCATTATCCCCTTGACTTTCTTCTCCCCAGGCACTGCCTCAGGGAAGCTGTGACCATTCCAGGGCAGGGAGAACACCACCCATCTTCATTCAAGGAAATCCACAATTTGGGACTGGGGAACTTTTTCTGTCACAGAAGTGTTTCCAAACCAAGAGATGTGATTGCTGACACTCAGGCTCAAAGCACCTGCTGCACAATGGCATGGCTCACCTTCGGTCCTGCATTTTGTTTTGTATGTGGATGGAATGGAACAGGTTGGGAACAGCACAAAACACCCTGTGCCCAGAAAAATTCCTGGTATGGAACCACAGTTCCCAGCCTAACAGATAACCAAGGAGTTTTAATTCCCTTTAGAGTGAAGAGACATTGGGAACAATCACACCTGTGAAGCTGGGCCACATGAATCAAATTACAAACACGGAAATCTCACCTCAGCACAGAGCTGGAAATACACCATGACAATGCTGATCTGGGAGCAGGATACCACCAGAATTATAAACACCAGGAAGAGGAAGCCAAAAAGGTAATAGAACTGGTTCTCCCAGATTGCCTGAAATAAACACACAGAAGGAATTATTTCCATATTACTGTCATCTATCACTGAACACGGGACCAACTTCTGGCAGCCAGCCAGGGGAAGAGGAGGAGCCCCTCAGCCTCACCTAGATGAAACCACAGATCTAATGCATTTCACAATGTCAGTTCAGAGGATTCAGGTTGCAAAAAGGTGCACAAGGACACCTCTGAGATAGCTTGTTCATTCCCCAGCATCTCCCAAGCAATGGAACAGCAAATTCTTCCCCATCCATACAAGGTGAAAAGGTGTAGCAGCAGAACAGTGACTGTCTCAAGACCAGGACCCCTCCCTGATGTAATGTTACAGTAAATTTTGTCTTTACCACAAAACCACCAGGAGAGTCCCACAGCTCTCTCTGGAAACTACTGAATGGCCTGAAAGAAACCAGCTACCCCCTTCAGAGAACACAGGAATAGGAGACTGCTCCAGTGGAAGCTCCCTCCCTTTCAAAAGCTTTGGCATGAAAGGAATCCTATTGAGGAGGAAAGTGGGTTAAATGCTTACACTGAAAATGAAGAATAGTTCGATGAACATGGCTCCGAAAGGCAGAATACCAGCCATGAGGATCCTACAGAGCAGAAACAAAAACCATAAGCAGCACAATATAACTGTCTGGACATTAAAAATTCCTTGAACTCCAAGCAAAGGCTCTACATTTCCAGATGACTACATTTCACAGGCAATGGCACAGCTGCTCCCACTGTTGAGCACGTACCACGGCTACAAGTTCCCCTCATACCACATCCAAATTATCAATGTGGTCTCAAGGAACCCCATCTGCCATCTTTCCATGTCCAGAGAGCAGCAGGTGACACTCAGCAACGCAAGAGGACCAAAGGGAGGGGGCTTAACTCACCATATTTCCCAGACACTCATCACTCACCCCACAAATTTGTTCATATACCACCTCTGCTCCGGGATCTGCCTGGGAATCTGATTTGTCCGTACAGGATTGTCATACGGCTGCTTGCGAAATCCAAAGTAGTAACCCAGGTAGACCAAGGGCAAGGAGATCCCAAACCACATGCAGAGCAAGGCCACCATGGTAGGGAAAGGCACCTGGAATCACAGCAAGAGCCACAGAAGTGAGGCTGACAGCTCTCTTGCACTGGGGACAGATGTCCAGTCAACCCTCCAGTCACCCACTTGGAAAGGTCTGGGAAGCCAAGTGAGTCCCTGTCCACCCAGTGACCTCTCCCACCCAGCAGGCCCCAGGCTGAGGGTGGCACCTACCGCACCAGAGGAGTGTTTCCCCCAGATGAAGCAGTTGAGGACAAAGCAGATGCCGAAGACAACACCCGGGTACAGTGTCGCTGTCTGCAAGAGGAAACCACAGCATAAGAGAAAGCACCTGGTTCATCAGCCACATGTTCCTATGGAATGAGTCCATCCCTGAAAGAAGGCACATGTGGAGAAGTGTCCCTTTTGTTACAGGACAAGGACACAGAGCTGCGCTGTGGGGAGGATCTTGGACAATCTTTGTTTTAGTATGTGCTCTGGTGGTGCCTTTTCTGTACAGCTACAAGGACTCAACCCACAGTAAATATGCAGCACAGCCAGACTGTGTCCAGCTAGCACAAACATGTGGAGCTTAGCCACATGTTTTTGCCATCAGCAGACTTGGATAAACAGCACAGAACATCCAAGACTCACACAAAATGCTCCCTTCTTCCATCGATGGCCTTTCAGAGTCCGGTATAATCGGCCAGCAAAGAATCCACCAAAAACCCTGGAGAGAAACAGGACAAGTCAGCAACACTGAGCTGCTGTTGCTGGGCAGAGGCAGGACAGCACTGGGGGAAGCCATGGAGGCACCTACCCCATGAACATGAAGAGGAAGCAGGCAGTTGTCATCAGCGCGCCCCGGCTTGAAGGTGACAGCATCCCCAGCATAGCAACAACTGCAGAGGGAAACAGGACAAGGAACAGCAGCTTTGAGGGACAAGTGCTGCAGCAGCTCAAGGACAGGGGCCTGTCCCATCTGCAGCCCATAGCTGCCTGCAATCCCTGCACAGGCCTGATTTCCTCCACAGCATAACGTATCCATAGCCTCCAGCACCAGCCAGAGAGGAAGGCACAGCTTTGATCTCAGCTACAGACCATGCTTCAGCCTCAGCCTCCCCAGGGATGGGAGCAGGTGCAGCTCAGCAGGCAAGGCACACCTGTACAAAAGTCTCCCAGCCCACTATGAGCCAGGGCTCACATCTTGGCAAAGGAAATAAAATCACACAAAGCTGCCTTTAGCTGGGCAATGTCATCCAGCAGCTCTGCAGCCCAGGCTGATGGCAACAGGAAGCAGCTCTATGGGCCTCACTCCAGCTAAGGTGAGCACAGGGTGAAGTCAAACATCCCCGAGCATCATTCATGTTACAGCCACCCCATGCAACATGTGCCACTTACAGATGACAATCAGGATCATACAGAAGAGCTGAATTCCAGAACCCAGGAGAGAGCTGAGGATCATAGGATACTGTGGAGGCCTGAAGACATCTCCATGCACAAGTTTCCAACCAGATTCCTCCATGGTATCTTCCTATAGCAACAACAGAAAAAGGAGGTTATTTAGATGTGATACACCAGTGGAAATTAAGGTCCTACCACAGCCACCCTAAGAGGTTAACTTTCCTGGATCCTGTTTTTCTACTGAATTTTACCACTCTAGCCAAGAAACTTCTTTGCTCTTGGGCTAAAAAACAGTTGACACCTGAATTGTCAGTGCCAGGACACACATTTAGAGAGCTTGAACATTTACATTTGCAGTCACTCCTTAGGCCTGAAGACATCCTAACTAGTATGTTATTGTTCAGGCAGAAGAAGGTGTGTGACAGCACAATTACCATGGCCAGGGCTCAAAGGAAAACATGAGGCAAGGGAAGAGACAATACAGCCAAATCTGCACATCAGATCCCTCCTGGCCTCTGCTTCCCCATCTCTAATCCCAGCCCAAGGAACAAACACGTACAATGTCATCTTCTTTGTTGTAGTTGGCAATGTCCTTCCGCAGAGTCCGGATGATGATCATGCTGAGAATCCCTGAAAACAAGCACAGAGTTCAGCTCAGAGGCTCCCACATGGCTGTGCTGCTTTCACGCTGTGCAACTACACAGCTCCCACCAACATTCTGTTCTGGCTGGGAGAGGAGGTCTTGAGTCATCAGCAAAGACAGAAACAAAACCCCAAGGAGCAGGGAAGGCAGTATTCCAGCAGAAATGGGGCACTGTGGCTTTCTTGTGGGTTTTTTTACTCCCTCAATAACCCCAGAATGAGAAAGGCTGGTAACTGCCTGACCCCACAGGACACTGATTGAACTGGGAGGCTTTAAATTTGTTTCCTGCTCCTTCTGACCAGGTTCAGATGTGGCCACATGCTCCTCGAGCTACCTGCAGCTAAGCCTTAAAGAAAATTCCATGCAGATAATGGTAAAGCCTTCCTCTCCCCACACATTCACTCACCTGAAAGGAAAAACACAACCACAACCGAGTTAATGATAGAAAACCAGTGGATCTGCACGTCACTCATGGTCAGGTACGTGTCCCAGCGGGAAGCCCACTTAATGTCACTTTCCTGAAAGAACAGGAGAGTTCTTCTCACACCAGCACATTCCCAATGTCTTCCACAACTCCAGTGGCAGACACTTGGAGCATCACTGCCAGCCAGCTCCCCAGTACTGCCTCACCTCCCAGTGCACAGAGTAGGTGAAGAGCAACCGGTTCTCTTTAGTAGGATCTATTTCCTGAGGGGCAGAGCCCGTGGCTTCAGGCAGGGTGCACATGCTCTTCTCATCAGCCTTCAAGTCTGTAAGGGAAAGCAGAGCACACAGTGAGCCCTTCCCTCAGGCACCACCTCTCCCACTGAGCATCACTCTGAGGGCATTGGTTGCAGTAATTCCAGGTGGGGAAGCAGTTGCTCCTTGCTCACCTGCTCTGCAGTTTGCAAAACTATTCTCCTGACCAACAGTGGAGCACCATTAAGAAGCTTTCAGGAAAGCTATGCACAGGGCTCCCCTTAACTGGAAGGATAAAAGCCAAAGGTTCTGAAGCCAAGGATCTAGACAAATCCTTGAACAAATCCTCTATTCCACATGATATGGTGAGAAACAAGAGCTCTACAGCAGTGCTTGCACTGCCAGAGGGGAGCTGCATGGGGTGTTCCACACCATAAGCAACTGCCCTTCTAGACACCCTTATCCACTGGGCTCACTGAGGTAGGAGTGTTTTCCCCTAAGCATTATTTTTAAATTTCAATCCCCCAGAACAGTTCCAAATATCCTATGTGTCCCTGAACCAGCACAGAGTGTCCCAGTCAGGGAGATCTGTGCCACAGCAAGAGCTAGAATGCCAGACATGCCTCATACCAGATGACACAGTGCAAAAAAATCCAACCCCAAAACCTCAAACTTAGATCTTTTTACAGGAATTGATTTTCTATGGATTGCAGTTCATGGATATTGTTGGTACTTCCTTAATAACAAAGTGTTTTATTATTCTTGTAATTTAGACTCATTTCTGTGCCCTGTGAGGCAACAACTGGCACCCTGATACATCAGTGGCATCTGCCTTTTGTCCATACAGGCGATTCTTCCCCTTGCTCCCCTCCTCAAGGGTCTCTTACCTTCCAGTTTAATGCTTTGGGGAATCACCTCAAAGCGAACCACCCTGTAGGTGTGCTCCTGGCTCTCTTCCACATCCTCTCTGTGGTAGTAAAGGATGAAGGAGAGGTGGTTGTGCAGGTAGAACTGAAATAGTGACATAAAATAAAACATCAGCACCCTATGGGAGGAAGGGGCAAAGCTGAGAAGCAACAACTGCAGAAAACAGCTTTGGTGAGGGAAAACTAAAGACTCCAACACCAGAGACCAGCCAGTCTTGGGGGCACGGTGCCTTTGCTCTGCTGAGGGGAAACCACTGTCCAAAGTTACACAGTGAATAAAAGTAAGGACTCCTGGCTTTCCCACCTTCCCACCCACCCTCTCCTGCCCACAAGAGACCCCTCTCTCATATTTCTACTATTAATAAAACCTTTCGGTTGTATTCCCAATTCTGATACTCTCTGGCAGACCTCTAACAGACACCCAGATCCCCCCCAAGCACCCTCACACAGCACCTCAGTTCTCTACCTTGTTACCATCCATAAACCCAAGCCTATATCCATGCTCGAACTGCACATCCTTCTCCTTCTTCTTCTCCTCTTCCTCACGATTGGAATAAAACTCCAGCCGTGTTGCCACAGGGAGGTTATCAGCAATGCTGAAAACACAGATTTCAGATCAATTTTGTCCACAGCACCAAACTCCCCTGACAGAAACCCATACTCGAGTGACTCACAGGTGGACGTAGTAATCCTCCCTGATGCGCTCGGCGATGAGCTTGCTCTTCTCCACATTCAGGATGACTGGCTTGTTGGGAAAGTTGCACAGAACTTCACATTTCTTCTCCACATTCATGGAAACCTGGAAAGGTGTATTTACAATTCGGTCCCCTCGAAGAACCTCACCTGGAAAACAGGAAAACATGAGCAGGGCTGGAGACTGCCAGGCTTCCTGCTGCTGATCCTGCTGCCAGGCATTGTGCAGCTGCAGAGACTTGCACAGCAAGTCCTTTGCTAGCCCAGCCACAAGGATAAGATTGCAAGTCAGAATAGCTACTTTGTTGGAAGTATCAAGCCCTGCTTATGAAGCAGGTTACATGCTCTCCTTCAGGACAGGCACTTCCTCTGTCCAACACATGGGCACTGCCATTTGCAGACAGCCAGCACGCAGTGAATCAGAAGAAGCAGCTTCTCTCAGCTCAGCAGAAGTGACACTTGCAATTGCTTTTACCCCTTTAAACACCCCCCCACACTCTCTGACAGGTACACACCGAGGTTCTCAGCCTTGTATGTGATCTCGCTGGGCTGGCAGAAGGGCAGTGAGTAGTACTCATAGGGCAGCTGGGTCCGGGAGCTTGTCAGCTTCACAGCCTGCAAGAAGAATGAAAGGATTATCCCCAGGAAAAAACTCCAGATACTTTCCTGTCCTCTCAGCATCATCCAGAAGCTGATGCTTTCTTCAAGACACCTTCCATAAAGCTCACTTCCAGAAGATACTACTTCTACTACTACTATTAAAAATAGTAACAGATGTTCCTGAGAGACTTTCCAGTAGCAATTCATTCACAGAGAAACACTCAAAGAACAAAACATGGTGGTTTCACAAATTTATATCTCAGTGGAGTCCTAAGAAACAACAAAGAGTTCAGAAGAGATTCAAGAGTCACATTTCATACAAGATTTCCTCAAAAATTCATATCCCACTGGACCTAGAGGTCTGGCCTCCAGTGCTATGAAGAGTTCAGCAATTTTAATCTGTGCGAGGAAAGCCAGAGAGCCATCAGTCTGGGAAAACAAGGTGACCAATCACAAACATTCCTGGAGAGTTTCCACAAATCACAGGGTACAAGGGAAGGGCAGAGACATACCACAACAGCCAAGACTACAGTTCCTCTGAAAAACAGAAGTGTTTTGTAACACAGCCAAGTTTGTTTATTGGAAGAGTGCTGGCAAACACACTGACTTGCCTAAGCACTTGAGGAAGCATTTAGCTCCTGAAATCCCTCTGAGAACAGCTATTCCAAAACCCTCTTCTGCTGGGAAGCTTACTGTAGCCACAGGCAAGTCTCATTTGCTTAAAAATAGCCTATGTCTGGCAGTCTGTGGCCAAAGAGAAAACTGTGCCGGGGCTTCATGTGAGAGCAGCCAACCTCAGCAGTCCCAAGGGTGTTGGATTTGCTGAGACAGAAGCCACAGCTTTAGAAAAATAAATGAAATTAGCTATAAATCACTGATGTCTGAAAGCAAAGCCTGGCTTCCTCGTGGCTAGGTGCAGCAGCCCTGTCATCGAGTACTAGCAATGCTGCACAGGAACAGCTCTCAGCAAGGCTGGGCTGAAAGATCTGCAAGGCTCAAGGACAAACACCTCCACCTGGGAAGAGCTTCTCATGGATTTCCCTGAAGGCACAACATGAGCAAACTGGGTATTGAGAAAGTTTGATTCAGACCTTATTCCACCATTCACCTTCCACCTAAAGGCACACTCTGCATAAGCACTTTTAGAGTCAGTATAAAGCTGGAGAAATTAAATTCACTTCAAAGCCACAGTGAGAAAGGAACCCTTTTCCCAAACAGAGCAACAACTTGAGGACTTTGGTGCAACTACTGAAGGGATTTGGTAGAAGAGATCAGGGGCAAGAACACGAATCATGTTGAGACCCAAGTGCTGTGAAGCAGAGGACATATCTGAACACAAAATTTGAGCAACAGGATCCCCAAATTTAACTTTCTAGCCCATCTTAGCTGCTATGGTATAAAAAACAAAACCCCCAAAAGATAAAAATACCCCAAACCAAACAGACTAACAGCACTGAGTTTATCCTACCTTTATTTCTACGGGATCATTGCGGTGGAAGTTGATGGGAGCCACCCCAGGTACATAGAACGAGTCTGTGCTGTGCAGCAACAACAGCAGGCCCAGCACGTATCTCAGCCTTTCCTGCAAGAAGGAGAAGGAACAGTAAAACACAACAGAAACACTGGAACAACATTAGAGATGTGCAATAACACTGGAAATGTTCATCCCAGACATTAGAAAGGCTGCACAGTCAGGTGATTAAACAGAAATTAAATTCACAAAAGCTGTTCTTAGCTTTGTTTTGAGACCCTCATCAAGTCACTTTCCACTCAGCATGTCTCTGCCTCTTCATCTGCAATTAGGAAAACTTTGGCTTTGCTCAACCACAAGAAAAATGCCACTTTTATCTGCACCATGGGGCATCAAGCAGGCCATCACTTTACTTTTCTGCTCACCCCCACTAAGCTTCCTGTGTTAGAAAACTCCATGGACTAGTAGAGAAGAGGGCTGTAGGTAGCCCTGGCACTGGGTGTGTGTCAGCTCTGCACAGCAGCAGTTACCCTGGAGCTGATTACAGATAGATGCTCACAGGCCACTACCTGCAGAAAAGTAATTGCTGTGGAGTCAGGTGTGCCACCAGTGACTGCACCCAAAGGGACAGGCACATCACCCCTCCCTCCTGCTCCTCACCCCTCTGCTCCATCACCACTCTGCTTTCCTTGCCCCTCCAGGCCACAGCACAGCTCAGGAACATGGCAAAAACTTTTTCAGCCGTTTTTTAGGGAGCAAGGTGACAAGTCAGGTGGGAAGGTTCAATTAACTCTATCAGGGCTCCAGGAAAACCCAGACCCTAACACAGCCACAGCAAACCCTTTATTTAACACACCTTGCTGCCTCCTCAGCCCCTCCCATTACCTCAGGTAACCCAGCTGAGCATGGGCAGGAAGGCCGTGAAATGAAAATCAATCTTTAAAGAGTATTAGCCAGCAGCAGCTTGCCTGGATTAGGACATCAGCTCTGGTATAATCTCACAGCACTACTAGTTTCAGTCCTTTCTCTTGAATTCCCTGTGTGTATGGCACCACTGGAAAACCACACAAAACCTGGTTGGGTTTGGGACAACTCTTGAGCTAATGCTGCAGATGTAGGAAACCAAATTCCCACTCTTCCTGTGTGTCCTCAGCACCAGCAGTTAGTTTGACAATACCAGAGGGAACACACCACAGGCCAAGTGTGACAAAGAGCAGCTCTACCATGGACATCTTTCATCAGGCTGGAGAGGAAAAAAAAAAATAAAATCTGTGTTTACTGTCCCCACACCTCTTCTTCATCACCTTCCTCCTGTCTCATTCTGAGGCAAGGAAAGTATGTTTGACCCAGACACCTGTGAGAGCCAACCAGAGCACGCAGAATTAATGGAATTGAACAGGATAAAAAAAAAAAAAAAAAAAAAAAAAAAAAAAAAAAAAAAAAAAAAAAAAAAAAAAAAAAAAAAAAAAAAAAGCCGAAGTATCAGGGGGTTGAAAGTCTAAAATGTACTTAAGGTGCAAATGCTAGCATCTACAGAAAATATGAATACTGAATCATCAGACATATGTGGCCTTCCAGTACCTGAAGGAAACCTACAAGAAAAATGGAGAGAGACTACTTACAAGACCATGGAGTACAGAACAAGGGGGAACGGCTTTAAAGTGACAGAGTAGGGTTCAATCGTATATTAGGAAGAAATTCTTCCTTGTGATGGTGGTGAGGCATTGGCACAGACTGCTCAGAGAAGCTGTGGCTACCTCATCCCTGGAATTGTTCAAGAGCAGGTTGGATAGAGTTTGGAGCAACCTGGGATAGTGGAAGGTTTCCCTGTCCATGGAACGAGATGAGTTTTAAGGACCCTGCCAACCCACACCATGCTGTGATTCTGTGATCTTTTTTTCTTACAAAGGGGATTTTCAGATCTATTCTAAGCATAGCCAAATACACTTGGAGCAGGCATAAAGCCCCAGCTTGGAAACACTCTTGTTAAAACTGCCTGACCTTCAATACTGATCTGCCTTGAGGCAACATGGGGCTTATTTTCTGTGCTCCACTAAATTCTGCCTTTCCAGTCTTTAAAGGGAGCGTTCAGTGGCTCTCCACAGAATAGGAAAAGGTCTCCTGCACAGGGGAAGCAGTGGAAGGAATCTGCACTCTTGTCCCACACTGCACTCCAGCAACCTGCAGCCCTTATCTCATTTGTCACTGAAGTGACAGGCCTACACAATGTCACTCAAAAATCAAAACCACACCACTGCCACCTGTGCCCCGGCAGGCTGGGAGGTGAAAAAACCGGGACAAAACTTTGGCAGACACCCAGGAGACACATGAGCATGAAGAAGATGACATTTTTGATGACAATTTTGGCAGAAATCAGGCTGTCTTTGCATACAGATGACGATGACTCAGGCAGCACCAGGCAACAGGAAAGACAAGAGGGCGACTCTGTAAAGCCTTGCCAGGAAAGAACAGTTGGTAGCAAGAAAGGGGGAAGCTGCTATGCAACAGGTGTGGGAAGCTTTGGAAGTTAAATATGAAGGAAATGCCCAGTGCAGGCTCCTGAGCTGGCAGAGCACAGGGAAGCTGAAGCCAGGGGCATTACTCATGAGGACCTTTGCTCTTGTACTGACAAATGTGCCTCATTTTCTCCAAACAAAGGCAGCAGCTTAGAAATGGCAACACGGACACCCCCCAAAACATCTGTGGAGCTCATGGGCCTGGCCAGGTGATTGCCTCACATGGGGGATGGCTGCAAGCTGGGTTCTCTCCTGTGCCAGGTCAGAATTTCCAGAAGGGAGCTCTGTTTCAGTGCAGCCACAGAGCCCTGGCAAGGCCCAGCAAACAGGACACACAGCTTCACAGCCTTTTCCATTTACATTTCAAAAACATGCAAAAAAAAAACCTCACAAATGACAGTCTTGTATCTGAAGTGCTAGGAAATCTTGTAATGGTGCCAGAAGTAGCACAACAAATATGCACAATCCCAGACTGAGAAAAACCCAGCTGCAAGTAGGCAAAAATAGTTCAGATTGTCCAAGCCTTAATATTTTCCTACATGCAGACATGTAGAGACACCCTTTCTTAGGAGAATATGATCTAAATAATAGAAGTAACTACAGGAGCACAATCACCCATTCCTGTTCCTCAGATCAAAAGTTCACACACAAACCCTCTCCAAGAAAGCCCTTCTGGAGTCAGTCTTGGGGCTTGCAGACAATCCCAGATTTATCCCATTTAGAAAGATTTATAACAATGTTGCCACTTTCTGTGAATTTGCAGAAGGTTCACAAACCACGCTGCCAAAACAGAGGACTTGTTCTCTAAACCTCAGCATGAAGAAGCCCTAAAACATCCAGTTATTACCACAATTGTCCCTCCCTAGGACTCGTGGCCCCTCCAGCTACCACTGCCAGAGTCTGACATTTATTTAAGGGAAAGGGGAAGCAGCAGCTGTTCTCTGGGGCACTCTGCAACAGTTCCAGCGTGCTTCAGAGGCTCCATGGCCTGGCCATGTGCACCCAGGACATCCCTGCCCAGGCTACTGCCAACAACTTGACAAAACCCTCAAGCAGCAGCAATTTCAAGCATCTGAACAGAGCTGGTGCTATACGACGATTGGTTTAGGTCTTAAGAGTTTCCCAATCCACACAGGAACTGAAGAACAGAACACAGGATTTGTTCAAAGAGACAGTGACAGTGATGGATATCATTCATTGTCCCATCACTTTTTGGCAAAGAAAGGCAGGGGGGGCATCAAAGAGCCATAATCAAGAGCTGTTTAACTTTCAAAGACAGCTTTGAAGAAAAACAGGGAAAACTACCTGTGCAGAGCCATTTGTCCAAATGGATTCACACAGCTATCCCATTCCATTTACTGAAACTTTTTTTATGGTGGTGACAGAAAGGGAGGAAAGCTACAACCCACTACTCTGTGGGAGCAAAAAAACCAACACGCTCTCTCACACATGTAACTTTAATTCTGCCCTCAGGCACATTAGCAGGACAGAAATAATGGCACCCTGACACTCATCCCCTCTTCCAGGGGCTGGCTCCTGGGATGATCCTGACAACTATTTGGATAAGCTCATCTTTATTACATCCCTGTCCTGGAGGAGACACCAAGAGCCCTTCAGAAGGAGGCAAGTGCTGCATTCACATTGACTTCAGAGCTCCTTTGACACCAGGAGAGCTGCTGGCAGCCTTCTCTGCCCTTCACATAACTGAGAGCCACGAGGAAATTCCCAGTAGAACCATCCCCAGCTCTCAGAGCCAGCTGAGCACTCCCTCCCTCCTGCCTGGGGGAAAGCCAGCAGGGTGTGAAGATGCTTAAAGCAAATTAAAGGAAGACCTTGGCTCTCCCAATCTCTCCATGAGTCACCTCACAGCCCAGCCAGCAGCGACCTTTGCATCAGTACACATCCTTTATCCACATCACTATTCCTGCAATGCACTGCCACAAAAATATCCTCCTGTGAAAGCAAGGAGGAAATCCGTTTGACTCCTACAAGACTTCAAAGCAGATAACAAATGTCTCAGCAGCTCGTTTTCTCCTCTGTGAGGTAGCACTGATGCTCACCCGGAATACCTTCAGTTCTCTGAGGATTCAATGAATCAAAGAATAACAGAGATGCTGGGACGCGGGAAACTGAAGCAGCGGCTCAAACCCGGACCTGACAACCACCACCAAACATTTGTGAAAACCACATAGAGCAACAGCCTCCGCGCTTTTACCAGCCCCGGGCCCAGGCTGACACCTCGGGAGGGAAGGCAGAAGGACCTGCCGGTGCTTCCTGCATCCCACACGCTCCGAGCCCCCGCCCGGCCCCTCCTGCCCAGACACCGCCGTGAACCGCATAAAGGAGCCAATTTTGCAGCCGAGGGAGCGCGGGGCAGGCGGGACAGGAACCCGCTGGGCTCCCCTGGGCACCGAGCAGCGGCCCGAGCTCTGCGCTCCACAGGCGGCACCTCCGGGAGACGCGGGGCAGCTGCAAGGCCCCGGCCGGGACCGAGCAGCCTCCTGCGCCCAGGGGCCGGGCCCGCATCCCTCCCAGCGCGGTGCGGGCCCGACCGCAGCCCCCGAACCGCGCTGGGCGCAGGCCCCGCCGGGCCGGGCCGGGCACAGCGGGCGGGAGCGGGGCCGGGCCGGGCCCCGCCGCACTCACCATCGCCGCCGCCATCTTGGATCCACGTGTCGGCGCTGACGCCACCGGAAGCGGCGCGCGGTTGGCTGCGGGGCCGATCGCCATGGCGACCGCGGCGGCCGGGCAGCACCGCGCCGGGCGGCCGCGCTCCGCGCCGCCGGGGCCGGGCCCAGCGCAGCCCCGGATCGGCACAGCTCTCCTGCCGGACGGGCTCTGGCGGGGGTCTCCGCTCCCGGGGGTGTTCGCTCCGCGAAGCCGGCCGGGAAAGGGGCGGTCCGCACCGACATCTTTGCTGAGGGCAGCGGCCTTTGCATGGACAGCGGGCGCGACGCTGCGGCCGCCATGTTTGGTGAGGGCACGAGGCGGCGGGGCCGAGAGGCGCCCGGACCGTCCCGAAGCTCCCGGACCGTCCCGGAACTCCCGGAACGTCCCGAAGCTCCCGGACCGTCCCGAAGCTCCCGGACCGTCCCGGAACTCCCGGACCGTCCCGGAACTCCCGGACCGTCCCGGAACTCCCGGTCCCTGCGGCCCGGGGCGTTCTCAGAGGGCGCTGCGGGTCTGCGCGGCTCTGGAGCCCCCGGACCTCAACTGCTCCGCGTCTCCCCCGCCCGGGCTGCGGAGCAGCAGGAACGGCCCGGAGAGGAAAGGTTGATAAATACTTTATTGATTACAAAAAAGAAAAAAAAAATAAAAAATATCCCAAAGCAGAAGCGAAGGCATTTGCCTCTTGGTATCAAAAATAATCACAGGTACCAGTCTCCCTGCTGTACACGGCTATCTTAAAAAAATATTGTTTATTCCTTTTCCCCAAGTAACCTCATGAAATACTAAAAATAAACAATAAGATCAAGTGAGAGTGCAGGGAGCACCTGGCCCTTGCTGACACTGCAAATGCCCCAGCAGACAACAAATGTTGCCTGTAAGCTTTGACATGGGGAAGAGGGCTCCTTTTGCCATGGCTTTGGGCTCCAGAGGTTCCTCCCAAGGCAAGTGGAGGGGGATCCATGCAGGGATGGACTGGAAAAGCGCTGTCTATGTCCATCTGCCCCTGCGGCACAGCCTCACCAAACCTGCACTTTGCACAGGGGCTGCCATGAAAATACTGGGGAAGGAAACCCAGGAGGGAGAGAGGAGATCAAGGGACCCTGACACTCAACATCCAAACCCAGGATCCTGCTGATGATGAGCCCACGGGCTGCACTGCAGCGTGCCCCGGGGAGATCCCCTGGGATCAATCACACAGAGAGCACAGACAGGCACTGCAGGGCATTTTGCCAAGGCCAGCACACTAAGGCACTTCTGCGGAATGATGTGATAAGATCTCAGAAGGATTAAAAAAAATATGGATCTGGGTTTTTCCTTGCAGCAAAAGCAGGCCTGGCCTCATCCCTGTCCATCCTTCTGGGGCCTGAGCATCCACTGTCCAGCCAGCACTTCCTGAGGCCACTGTCCCACGGACATTCAAGGTCCTGGGAAAGGCACAAGGTATGGCCAAATCTCTTCTCCCTCCATCGTGTGCTTCCTCCAGCCCAGCCACTCCAGGAGGGCTGTGGTACCTGGGCCAGGCTGGCAGAGGACACAGGGCACAGGTGAGACAGGGAAGAGCTGGCAATGTCCGCCCCTAGCATCCCGTGCTATGGCTGCTGCTGGTACTGGCTCTCTGTGGCAGTGAAGAAATCTTCCAAAACACTTTGTATGTACTCAAAAGTGGGGCGATCCTCGGGTTTGATCTTCCAGCACCTCATCATGATGTCGTACAGCTCCTCAGGGCAGTTGTCCGTGCGTGGCATCCGGTATCCGTGCTCCAGCGCCCTGATCACCTCCATGCTCGACATCCCTGGGGAGACAGGGTGGGACAGCTGAACATCACCCGCTGTCTTTAAAAGTCATAAAATCCCCAAACCCAAAACTTTTCTCCATTTGGGCAGTGTTTCCAGGAAGGGAAAAGGGGTTAGAGGAGCTGGGAGGGGGAACTGCTGCTCCTGGTCAGGAAAATAAGGACAAAGGAGATGCTGGGTTATTGTAGGATGGAGTTTTGTGGCCTGGGTCACGTGGGGTTTATAATCACTTTGTATAAATTAAAATGCTAAGTCTGTGATGATCCATTGCTTTCAATGAACACAAGTCAGTGTGGGGGCAGAGCACCTCAGAACAACCTGTTGTGCCGCCCCAGATCCTTCATGGTCCATTTGTGGTAGCATTTACAGAGTAATTTCCCATTGAAGAAAAGGTACCAAAGTAATTAATAAGATACAGGATGGTCCCTAATGATAAGGATTTACAGTGTTTTCCCATGGAGCTGGAGAAGCTCAGATCACATGCATGGGGCCCAAAAGGTGGGATGTGTCTTTTGGAACCAGATTAGAGGAGGCATTTCACCTCCTTACCTGGGTAAGGGATGCGTCCATAGGTAATGATCTCAGTCAGGAGGATCCCAAAGGACCAGACATCTGATTTTATAGTGAAAGATCCGTAGTTGATGGCTTCAGGTGCAGTCCATTTAATGGGAAACTTGGCACCTGGACAAAGACATCCAATGGGAAACATGAGCTCAACCCCAACTGCTGAGAAATGGGTGGTGAAATACGGGGAACAAGAAACAAGCAGAAGAGGAACAAATGAAGTGATGCAAATGAGAGGAGCTTCCCTCTGCCCATGTTCCCAGCACATCCCTCCCAGGGCTGGGACCACCAAGGTGGCAAGTGGCTCTAGGGGAACCCCCCAACCTTTTGCCCCCAGCACCTTCCCGGGCCGTGTACTCGGTGTCCTCGATCACCCTGGCCAGCCCAAAGTCTGCAATCTTGCACACCAGTGCTGCTGACACCAGGATGTTGGCAGCTCTCAGGTCTCTGTGGATGTAGTTCCTCTTCTCAATAAAAGCCATTCCTTCTGCAATCTGTCACAGGGGAAAAAAGTAAATGCAAACAGGCTGCTTGAAATAACACACACCCCCTCAGCACCAAAGAAGTCAACTGCTTCTGGCCAGCGCTCAGAAAATGGTGAAAGGAGGCTGAGCCACAGCAGAAGATGGATATCCATCCCTGGAAGTGTTCAAGGTCAGGCTGGACAGGGCATGGAGCAACCTGGTCTAGTGGAAAGTGTTCCTGCCCATGGCAAGGAGTTGGAATGAGATGAGCTTTAAGGCTCCTTCCAGCCCAAACCATTCTGTGACTTTCCTGCATTGAAACTGCTCTCAGAGCAGGGAATCCCTTGCAGAAGAGGTTGGGGTTTGGGTGACCAGCCCAGCATGACATCTTTAAGCTGCTGTGTGAGAAAATCTGTGAGAATTGACAGCTGAGGAGCTCATGTGATCACCAGAGTGTGCCTGTGAGTGTTTGCAGGGCAAGGTGTAAGTGCTTCATCCACAGCCATGAGGATGTGGAGGAGGAGCAAATAATTCTTTGCTCAGGAAAGATATAATGTGGGTCTCCAATACACCCACAATGGCTCACTAATTGCTGCAGTGAAAGTCAGCATTCCAGAGCTTCCTTAGCCAGGGCAGAAAAGCATAGGGGAAGATGCCTGAGTTCTTCCAGACTAGTTTTTGAAGAGTCATCTCTGCCTGTGGACAGGATGGCCCCTGACAATCCCCCTCACCTTCTGCCTTCTGAAGTCTGCACTCAGTACTGTGTGTGCAGGTCTCAGCCCTGATCAGGCAGAGGTGACTCAGTGTGTGCACATCCAAACCCCAAACCAGAATCCAGAATGTGAAGGGGCTGGAGCAGCCAGAGAGGAAACCCTCCCCTCCTTATCACATCCACACAAGCTGGCCTGGGTGAGGTGCAGCTCTCACAGAGCTCTCCCCACTAAATACAGAAGTAACCAGGCAGCGCAAGAGCGGAAGGATCATTTCCATGCCTGCAGATGCATTTCTGCCCGCAGTGACTCAGCCCCAGCACAGGGCCAGGCTGCTGCCTGCCCGTGACAGCCCTTCAGCCTTTGCTCCCCTGAGCTTCTCCGAGCAGCCCCTCGGAGCCCTGGGCCGAGCTGGGGTTGGCACGAGCCAGCTTGCTGAGAACAGATGGTGCAGGAGGGCACAGCTGATCCACAGACCCCAGCACAGCCAGCTCCAGCAGACAGTGACCTGGTCTAAGCCCACAGGGCTCCCATCCTGGCTTTGCAATTGCTCAGGTGCCTCTGTGAAATATTTGAGCTCAGCACAAAGGGTCCCTGGGTTCAGTCCTCACCCAGGGGCACTGGAGAGGCAGCAGGGACTCAGTGGTTGTGCAAATGGTTGCACATAGAGTGAGGTGCTCAGCAGCCCTTCTGCTGTACTCAAAGTCAGCTCAGAAATAATTATCTCTGAGTCCTTCTGCCTCTCCAGCTGCCTTCCCCTGCCCATGACAGCCCTCTGGTGACTTTACTGAACCACAGCCCTCCCGTAGGCATTCCCCTGGGGCCACACAGCCTGCTGTGCTCTCTCCAGGAGACCGGGAACTGTGCCTGGCTCAGCCTCTTGGGTATTGGCAGCACACAGGATCATGCTGCAGGATTCCTGTTAAACCCACAGAGCTTCACACCACCGTGGCACTGTCCTGAAGCAGTGCTGGGGGGGTGGGATGGGGTGGGTGTGTGGCCATGCTGGGTTTGTGGGGCTTTGGCCAAGTTTGCAGGTAAGGTTTGTAGGTAACTGTCACAGCAGCAGCAAATTAGAAATTATAGTTAGCAGTATCAATAGTTATCAATTATAGAAATTGATAACATTGCCTTAGGCTTGGCTGGGCCACACCAACCAGCACTGGCACGTTCCAGAGAAGGGACTGTGCAAATGTGAGCTGTGGAAACAAGCCCCATCCTCTTCCTCACTTTCTCCTCAAAGCACAGTCACCCCACGGGCTGTGAGGGCTACAGGAACCATGGCACACATAGAAGTCAATAGCCAATCCTCTCCAGGATCTGTGCAGCTCTGCTGTGCACTGCTCAGGTGCAGGTGGGCTAGCTGAGTGCTGCAGATATTGGTGTGGTGAGGGGGAAGCTGCCACTTCTCCTTTCACACGCCCCTGCTCCTGCGAGGTCAGCGGGATGAGGATGGTGAGCAGGCAGTGGCTGCCCACAGGAAAACCTCACTGCACCCCCAGCACTGCTCAGTCCAGGCTCTTGGCTGATGCTGCACAAGCCCCAGGTAAGTTCCCAGGCTCCTCACTCACCCTTTTCAGGGGGAAAAGGGGCACTGGGAGCTGGGGAATGTCTGCTCCTTCCTCACCTGGGCAGAGAAGTCAATCAGCTTTGGGAGCAGCAGCTTGTTCCCCTCATCACTCTTCAGGAAATCCAGTAAGCTCCCTGCAGACAGGGAATGGTGCCAGGGCTGTTGGTTTAGCTGGAGCCTGCACCCACCCTTAGGGTGGCACAGGGTCCTGAGGAGCCAAGCAGGACAAGAGGACTCTGGAAACACACCTGATCCCCCATCCCACTCCCATGGATAGTCCATGAGGGAACACCTCTGCAGGCTCCCTCCTGCCTTGCAGAGTGCCTGTACTCATTTGTCCCCTCTTAGGTGTCCCTCCTCTCCCAGTGCTGTCACCACATCCCCTCTCCCAACACCCAGACCCAGAGCACTGGCACGCTGTGGTAGGAGCCAGAACTGTTCCCAGAGTCCTGGGAGCTGGTTCAGAGCCCACAGCTGAGCCTGGGGGATTGATCCTGCACCAGCCCAGGGAACCTGAGTGCTGCCAGTTGGCCTGGTCACAGACATCACTCAGGGATGCGGATTGCACCTTTCTCCATGAATTCAGTGATGATGAAGATGGGCTCCTCCCTGGTGACCACGGCGTGCAGCTTCACCAGCTTGTCGTGCTGCAGTGTCTTCATCAGGTTTGCCTCCTCCAGGAAGGCTTCCACGGACATGCTGCCCGGCTTCATCGTCTTCACCGCCACCTTGGTGTGCTTGTTGTAGGTAGCTGGGGGTGCCACAACAGATCATTCCCACCCTGCCCTGTGAGCACTGAGCTTTGGAGCCAAAGTCCCAGCCCTGCAGACACAGCTGCTGTGGGAAGGTTGGAGGCCACACATAGCCCAAGGCTGTCCCCACCTGCCCAGCCCCCACCAGCCCCTGCATTAAGGCAGGGTCACTTCCATGTCCCTCTGCTTCTCTCCCTCCTTGTCTTTCCCACCCCACCATCCCTCTGCCTTCTCACACATCCCTCACCCTTCCTCCTCCACCGTCACCTTCATCATCCTCCCTGCCACCTCCCCCTCTCTCTCACCCATCCACACTTCTCCGAACTGCCCGGCTCCCAGCTTCCTCTCCAGACTCAGTGACTCCCGAGGGATCTCCCAGGCATCTTTCTCCCAGGGCTTCTCTGGTTTGGGTACACGGCAGGGGTGGGTGAGCTTCTGGCACAGCCCATCACTCTGACCTGAGGAGAGCATCCAGGGCCATCAGCCAGCCTGTCTCACTGGCCACACTGTGCTTCACGGGGGACTTCTGGCCACCATGGGTGTTCAAGGACACCAGCACCACAGCTGTGACAGCCAGCAGGCCAGCCATGGCAATAGGGGGAGGTGTGGAAGTCACTGCATGTTGCAGTCAGAGCCGCAGCAGGAGCCCAGGGGTGATGGGCAGGAGCCCCTCAGCCTCTGCACACCCCCAGCTGCCTGACTGCTTGGCTCAGGGACAAAGCCCCATTTGGGAAGGGCGGCCAAGCACCCCAGGGCTCACCTTTGTAGTGCTGGACCAGCTCCTGCAGCGTGTTGAAGTTGTTCCGTGGGGAGATGTAGAAGCCACCGCTGTCCAGAGTGCGGATCTTGTAGTGCTTCACTGCCCCGCCCCGCAGCTCGTCCCCGTCCCGCACCGAGAGTGAGTAAGAGCCTGGGCAGGGAGGGCTGAGCTGGCATCTCCCACGGGAGCACATTCCTGCTGCACCTGGCCATCCTGGCACGCACAGAGCCATCGCCCAGCAGAGCCAGCAGCACCCATCCCACGCTGCTGCCACCACCCCTTCAGCCACCAAACACCCAAAGCAGCCTCAAAGGGACACATCCCCCTGTCCCTGCCGTGGGATTCAGACATGTGGCAGTGCCACAGGCTATGGCAGGGGCACTTCCAGCCAGGGCATGGGCCTCCCAGTCCCTCCCTGCAGCACAGAAGATCCCCAGGGCTGGGGAAGGAGCTCCTCTTCCAGGCCAAGGTGGATGAGGGAAGCCCTTTGGGCAGCTGTTCCCCACCACTGTGCTATGGACACCTCTCCACACCTTTCGTTGTCTCGCTGTCCCTTATCATGAAGGACCCAATCATGTTCCCAGGGCCAAGGAGCTGCCGCTCCGCGTCCTTCCGGCTGATGTCCTTGAAAAACCACCTGCAGCAGAACCAAATGATCCAAGGAATGCTGGAGTGGGGCAGGGCTGGGGGCAGGACATGAGGCAGGAGCGGGAACAGCGGCAGTGGGGAAGTGTGGGACAGCATGGGGCCAGGATCTGGCATGCAGGGATGGACTCACTCCTCTGTCTCCAGCGAGTTTTCTTGGGCAACGTAGTTGCTTGGGATGAAGCCTTCACATCCTGTCACCAGCGACCGTGCTTGCCACCATTCCCCTGACCTATGACAGAAGTGGCATTGGGCTGGCTCCTGGCACCTGGACCTGGGCACCAGCAGGGTGCTCCTCCAGGGCAAATTCCAGAAAAAAATCCCAACAGGGCCACACAAGCCATCAGGAGACTGTGGACAGGAGTCTGCCAGCAGCACTTACTTCTCCAGGATCTTCATCCTCTCCCCCTTCTGGAAGCTGAGGTCCCCAGCGTTCATCGCCTCGTAGTCGTAGAGTGCCAGCACCACGCTGTCCCCCAGGCCTGCAGCAAGGGAGGTCCCTGGGCACCCCTCCCCATGCTGGGATGGGGTGCCTGGCCACTCCTGCCATGAACACTGGCCAGGACATTGCCAGGACCCCCACAGCACCCAGCACCTCCATCTTCATCATGTCACATCTGGCCCTTCAGGGAAACCCTGAGCTCCCATCCCTCCAAGATGTTCACCCTAGCTCAGAGAGGATTGGGCCACACTGCCCCCACACACTCCAACCCCCTGCACCCACTTGCAGCCCCTTTGTACCTACCAGCCTCAGGCAGGGACACAGCCATGCTGGGGACATGATTGTTCTGGAAAGTGCAACAAAACCACAGAGTGACGTCACAGGTGGCAGAGACCCGTTTCCCATGGTGGGTCTTGGCCCCAACAGCAATGGCAGGAGCAGGAGGGCACCCGAGGGGCAGCACCAGCACCACCTGACACGACAACCCAGCCAGCACCAGCATCTCCACCCCCTCCCAACACCTTCATTTTTCTCTCTCTTTCTCCATAATTCCTGCATTCCCATCAGGTCCACTCTGTGCTTTGTCTCAGTGTGGCCTGGGCTCCCACCCAATAGCCAAGTCCCTGTCCCGGGGCATGGGCACTGCCAGTGCCCTCAGCTGGCTCCACTCTCAGTGTTGGTGGCACTGCTGAGAAGAGGGGCTGAACCCCCTGTGACAGCTCAGCCCTGAAATCTCTCATCACTCACCCGCTTGTTGGTGGCTGTGGGGTCCCTCACATAGTGGCCCTGCTGGATGGTGGGGCCAGGATCAGGGTCAGGATCAGTTTTTATCATCTTCTCTTGGACACCGGCTTTCTTAGACTTCACACAACCCATGCTGCTGCCAAGGAAGGGGAAGTGAGGCCATTGCAACAGAGGTGAAAGCCCCACTCCAACCCCAGTCCAGCCCTGTTCCCATCAGCTCTCACCCAGCACAGGGCCCCAGAGCCCAACCCAGTGCTCTGCTGGGACAGAGAAACTTTGCTCCTCCCAAGCTTCAGGGTACTGGGGTGCCCAGGGACACTCCAGAGGAAAAAGGATCTCCTGGAGATGTCATAGCAGGTAAAGTTTGGGGAGACACCAGCAGCAGCCATGGAGCAGCTTCCCTGCCCTTGTGGGATGCAGGACAAGGTGTAGGCACTGGGCACCATGGCAGCAGAGAGTCACACTCAGAATCTTCTGCAAAGAGGGGCCCTGATCCTGGTGAGCTTTGCTGCAGCTTGGGGGTCCCCACACAGCACCCCTGGTGCCCATGGCCCCCACCACCACCACAGGCCACCACTCCACACTGTGCTCCCCTGATCTCTGCTGGGTGGGAGCTGCCCCAAACATCCAGTCCAGGGCAATGACAAATGCTCAACTTTCTCCAGCACCCCAAGAAATTCAGTGGAAAAAAAAGCTGCAAGAAGCAGCAAGAGTGGTAAACCCCTTGCAAATGTACTTCCCTTGGCCAGGGGGACCTGGGTGCAGAGAAAGCAGAAGGTGCTGGTGGTCACAGCGAAGGAGGAAGCTCAGGGCTGAACCCTCGATGTGCATAGCACAGCTCTTGAGGAACATCACTGTCACATAACACACCATGGTCACTCTTGGTCTTTCCAAAGCCTGGGCCAGCCTTGCTCCCAAGGGCAGAGCAGGAGCAGCCACGACAGCTCATCTCCCTCACTGGGCACAGCCTGGGGACTGTGTCAGATCCATCCTGGCAAACCCACTGGGGCCCAGCTTAAACTCAGACGTGGCTCACACCATGACCACTGCAGGTATTTGCTGTTCCCGTCCCACACCGCCTCAGCGCATCCAGCCCTACAGAGCACAATCACCCGGGGCAGTCCAAGGGTCATTCCCACTGGCTCCTGTGGCATAGCTGGCATTCCTGATGTGTCCCACCCTGGAGAACCAGGTCCCAAGGCTCCTGCGCTGTCCCCAGCCATGAGGACCAGGTTGGATGAGGATGCCCTTCGTTCCCAGAGCAAGGATGCCCGCAGCCCCCTGCCCTTGCTGCCCTTGCCCGTGCCTTCGGTCCCCGACAGCCCCTGCAAAGCCACCGGCAGGGACCCCTCGTCGGAGCTACACTGTGTCCAACCGGGGCTGCACCGGGACCCGTGAGATTCCCGGCCATCGCCTCATCCCGGGCACCCGGGGTCCGCGGCTCTGACCGCGACCGGCCCGGCGGGGGTCGGACCCTCCGGGCTGCCCGGGACTGGCGGCGGGGCTCCCTCGCCGCCCTCGGAGCTCCGCGCACGGCTCCGACCCTTCTCACCTTCGCACGTCCCCGTGGCCGGTCCCGCTGCCAGTCCCGTCGCGGAGCCCCGGCTGCCGCTGCCGCTCCGCTCTGCCCGGTGCTCTCCCGCCGCCCGCCCGGTGCGGCCCCGCCCCTCCCGGAGCGGCCCCGCCCCCGACTCCGACGGGGAGGGTGCGGCCGGTGCCTCCTCTGCGGCGCTGGGAACGGGGATCAGCATCCCACAAATCGCACCAGCAAGGACATCCCAGCTTTGGGTGACCCCATGGCCTTTAGGGACCCCCGAGGGGTGCCAGAGCCCGTCTGTCCATCCGCCGTCCCCGGGACACCGGACGAGTTTGGGTCCCGCTCCCCAGAGCAGCCCCCAGGATGTTTCCCCGCCTGGTGCAGGGTCACGGAGAGCGGGGGGCACGGGGGGAGCACAGGACCCGGAGTCAGCCCGGTTTTCTGTCCCAAGAAGGAGAAAAGAAAGCCCTGAGCATCCGTGGTGGGGTGCAGGACATGAGGGCATCCAGGACACACTGGGGTGCATGGGACTGGCTTTGTGAAGCACAGCTCAGAGAGGTCCGGGTGTCCCTGCGCTTTGTGGTGTCCCTGCTGGCCCTGGTATTCCCGTACCAAAGCTCCTACCCAGCCCGGCATGTTCCAGCTTTTCTCCTGGATTGCCCGGACAACCCCTGAATTCGGGATGGAGGCAGCATCAGCAAGGGGACCCACGGCTCTGTGTGACCCTGACCATGGGCTGCTCGCATTCAGAGGAAGCAGCTGGGGTGGGAGAGCGTCCCACCCCAGGAGGGTTTGCATATGTAAATTTTTTTTGGTAGCAAAAATAAATTGCTCCGGTAGCCCCAGCGTCTGCTGCCCACACAGCACCCTGGAGCTGCAGCGCCGAACCCCGGTCCCCACCAAGGGACATTGGGCCAGGGAATGTTGGCTCGGGGCCATCAGCCACGGGCCAGCAGCCGTGGGATATTGGGGTACAGTGGCCAGGGGGAATCGGCTCGGGGACGGTGGCCAGGGAACATCAGCTGAGGTCCACCGGGGGCCGGGGAGCACGGCCCCGTCCCTCGGCGGCGGAGGGGCTGCAGGGCGGGACTGCAGGAAGCTGGTCCGGGGCAGGAACTTCCTTTTGTGAAACACCCGCAGCCCGCTGCCGGACGAGTCTCGCACAGGCCTCGCAGGCAGCAGAGGGCCAGCTGCAGCCACCAGCCCTTTCCTCTCGCAGCACATTCCCGCTGACCCCCTCCATTGCTCTGAGCATCCCCTGGAGCCAGCCAGGAACAGCACCCTGACATGGTGGTGACCTCCAGGTGACACTGGAGTGGGCAGGTGCTCAGCCCAGCCCAGCCCAGCCCAGCCCAGCCCAGCAGCCCCCTGCCCCAGCTCACCCCCATACTGCAGCAACCGCTGCAGAAGAAACTGCTCTGCTCCACTCCCAGTCCCAGCATTTAATTGAAATTTGCAGAAATTACAGCACGTGTCTATCCCACAGTCATGGCTACCCTGTGATTCCAACAGCCTTGACAATAGCTGGCAGGGCAGTGCAGAGGCCTGTCCCCTCCCATGGTGACAAATTCACCCCCCCTGGTTCTGGGGCAGAGCTGGGCACCTGCTGAGTCTGGTCCTGGAGGTGCAGCACCACACCAACGAGCTGGGTTTTGGCACTGGCTCACAGGTAGTTGTCCTCTTCCTCCTCCTCCTCTTCCTCATCGCGTGCCAGCGCCTCGATGTCGTGGGTGATGTCCGTGATCATGCGGTTGAAGGACTCGGACTCGGAGCGCAGGGACCAGCTGTCGTAGCTGCGCACGGCCGAGGCCGACGTGTTGCTCATGCTGCGCTTGATGCGGCCGAAGCTGTCGGTGAGGATCCCACCCTCCCGGATCCCGATGCTCTCCAGGAAGGTCTCAAAGTACCCGATGTCTTGGTCAGGGATGAAGGGCCTCATTCCTGTCATAGGCACCGTAAGCCTCGGGAGGCTGCCCAGCTGGGCAGTACTGGGGTGCAAGGCCAGCCCTACTGGTTTGTCCCATCCTGCCCCAGCAAGCAACAGGGTCCTGACATCCCCTGAAGCACACCCAGCACCAGCCTCATGGCCCCAAGGGATGCACAGACATCACCAGGGTGACACAGAGTGGCTGCAGACACTCACCCAGGAGGAGGAACTTCCTGCGGTCCCCGTAGAGGCGCAGGAGCTCCGTGCAGTATTCCTGCACCGGCGTGCCCAGCCGGTACTCGCGGAGCAGGATGGCAAACTGCTGGATCTCCTGTGGTGACAACTTGTTGCGCAGCTGTGGTGACACAGGGACAGGTTTGGGCTTTGGGACACCAGCTGCACACAGCCCCCAGCTCCCCGCCCTGTGTTCTGCTGCTGCTTTCTGGCACAGGGAGCCCACATGTGCCTCCTGCCCCTGCCCCAGCTGCTGGCACTGCTTTCCTGCTGCTTGTCCCTGTGCCCATCCCTGTGCCCTCACCGTCACCATGTAGTCCTGCAGCTGCTCCAGTCCTGTGCCACTCTGGTCACTGCCACTGCAGGCGGTGGCCAGGCTGTGGTGGGAGCGGTGGAAGGAGGGCGAGGAGGTGCCACTATAATACGCTTCAAAGGTCTCGTGGGAGCCATTGCTGTGGGAGGACACTGGTGAGTGGGTCCCTGCACCCCTCGTGTGCTCTGCTGCCCCCCACCCACTGCACAGCACCCACCGTCAGGTAGGGCTGGGGCATCACTGCAGTGGGGACTGGCACCTAGCCAAGAGCAGGGGTACCCACCCAGGGGCAGGGGGATCCCACACCGGTTCAGTGGAGCCCACCCCAGTCCAAGGACACTCCAGGGGAGCCAGACTCACAAAGAGCTGCAGCAGCTGTAGTCAGCATCGTAGCCGTATGTCCCATCTGTGCGGCAGCTCTCGCCTGGGGAGGGAGAGCTGAGACCTCATAGCAGAGACAAACCCCCCACGATGTGTCCATGTACCCCCACCCATCATCCCCATGACATCCCATTTGATGTTCCCACTCCTATCTGCAGCCACTCACTCCTGCTGGAGAGCCAGGGCCGTGTGGGCGTGGAGGTGTAGTGGTACCCGGCGCGGTCCACGCACTCGATGCTCTGGTCGCCGTAGATGATCTGGAACACCTGGCAGATGAGCGCACAGGATTCCTCCCCAGCATCCTGCAGCGGGAAGGGACGCGGGCAGTCAGTGCCGGTGGGCGGGCGAGCGGCCGGCGGGCGGGTGGCACACGCCGGGACCTCTCACCCTGTTGGGCACGGCGAGGATAATGAGGTTGGAGTAAGCGTCAGGGCAGGGCTCCTGGGGGTCCAGGGGGTTGCTGCCGGCGTGCCGCCGCTCCCAGCTGCCGAAGCCGGTGCCGCGCTCCCAGCTGCCGCCGGCGGTGCCGGCCCGCCGCCGCTCCCAGCTGCCGCCGCACGGCTGCCGCCGCTCCCAGCTGCCCGAGGGCCGCCCGCGCTGCCGCCGCTCCCAGCTGCCGCCCCGCCGCCGCTCCAGGCTGCCGCCCTGCCGGCCCTCCTGCCCGCCCCGCGCCGCCCGCCAGTCCAGGCTGCAGATCGTGTGCCGCCGCTCCATCGGGCCCCCGAGCCGCCCCTCCGGCCACGAGCCCCCCGCACGCTTCTCTGCGGGAAACGCCTCCGGCAAGCCGGCCGGGGCTGCCTCGGGGTGCGCCCCGGCGGGGACCGGGTCCACTCCCAGGCCTGAGGGGACGGGGACAGGCAGGGCGTCAGGGCGGGGGCTGCGCTGCCCACCCTGCCTGGTCCCTCCCCAGCCCCTGCCCTGGCCTCCCTGTCCCTCCAGCCCAGTGAGATGCAGAGGGATGGGGGTGTGGGATGGGAATGTGGGAGGCCCAGTGGGTTGGGGACACCCCTCCGGGACTCTGTAGGAGAGGATGGGACACACACACCAAGACAGGGACAACGCGGGATTTTGCCGCCCTGTAGACTCTGACACCCATCACCCTCAGTGCTCCAGCCCCTCACAGCCACTCGGGGCCGGCTGTGCCTCGGCTGGTGGCCCCCGGCCCGACCCCCGCACCGGTTTTGAGGATGAGGAGGTGCAGGGCATCGTCGCGCAGGTAGGAGGCCGCTGCGATCTCGTGTGTGGGGATTCGCAGGATCAGCTCCTCGTTGTCGCGCCAGGTGAGCAGGAGGCAGCGCGCAGAGAGGCTGAGGATGCTGTCCTGCTCTGGCGTCGTCTGCAGCGGCAGCTCCTTCAGCTGCTGCATGGACAGAGTGCGGGGGTGTGCGTGGGGCACCCGGCAGTGTGGGGTACCCGGTGCCCACCCTCTGGGGAGTGGGGACCCCTTTTACCCTGGCCGTGTCCAGCAGCTGCAGCACCTCATCCCGGCTGGAGGGGTTCAGGGACGATGTCACCCATGTCAGATGACCTAAAAACTGGGGAGGGAAAAGCCCAGGGCAGCTTGGGGAAGTTGGGGCATGCACCCTCCCCCTCTCCCCACCATGGCCCCAAGGTCAGGACACATCTCCCTGGGGTTCAGGGACACCCCGCAGTTAGAGGGTCCTCCCTGCACTGCCAGCACACCCTCCTCCTCTCTGGGTGTTTGCCTGGGCAGGGAGGGACTCGGACCCTTCTGGCCACTCTGTGTGTGGCTCTCAGCATGGTGTGGTGGCCTCATTACCCCACTTCAAGCAAGCAGTGACCCCGGGCGTTTTTGGGGATCCCTTTACCTTCACCTCCTTCTCCACGTAGTCGTGCAGCAGGATCTGGGGGTCGATCAGGTAGTCGGGGGGGTAGAGGGGCACGGAGTGCAGCGGGCGCCGATAGACGCTGCTGCGGAGCGCTGCCCTCCGCGCAGCCTTCGGGAAAACCAGCCGCTTGATGGGCGACACGAAACCCTGGCAGGGGAACGGGCATGGGGACGGGTCAGCACCGGGCACCCAACCCTGTCCCCCACACACGGCGTTCGTGGCACCCAGCCCCTGGGAGGGGGGGCGGTAACAGCTGAGCACCTCTCTGCTGGCTCTTTGCACTGTTTGGGTGGCTCCGCTTCTCCCCACTGTGCTGTGGGAGGGGTGCGGAGCCTCTCAAACCTGTGTGTCTCACCCGCCCTCCCACCCTCCTGCCACCCCCCCGGACACCAGCCCCAGCCCCACGCACCTTCTTCCCCTTCTTGGCCTCGCTGTCCATGGCAGGACGCGGTGCTGCAGCCGCTCCCACTGCCCCGCTCGGCGCCGCGGCGCTTTCCTGTGTCGGAAACTCCACCAGGATAGCTGGGATGTGAGTTCCTGCCTCTCCTGGGGGCTGCTGGGACCGGGCTGGGCTGGCCTGGCACTGGGACTGGGACAGGACTGGGACCGGGACTGGGACAGGACTGGGACTTGGGTACGGGATGATCTGTTACTTGGGCAGAAGCAGGGGCTGAATTTGGCTGAGATGGGACTGGAGCAGGGACTTGGACTGTGCTGGTGCTGAGACTGGTGCTGGGACTGGGGTTGATACTTATACCGAGACTGGGGCTGGGATTTGGCAGACTGGGGTTGAAGTGGGCTGATGAGATGGGACTGGAGCAGGTGCTGGGACCAAAGCAGGTGCCTGTGGGACTTTGCTATGGAGCAGCCCCTACCCCTCACTGTGGGGCTCTTTCGTGGGGCTGGGGCTGGTTCTGCTTCCCTATCACCCCACATCAGCCCCATCCACATGGGGCAACCCTGGGGGCTCCCACCCCTCGCTGCCCATATCCTGTCCTGCTTACACGGGGCCCTGGCACTTTACTGTACATCCCTGGCACTGGGAATGGCCCTGGCACTGGGAACAGCACTGGCAGGAGCTCACACAGCTGCATCCTGCACTCCATCCCCACGGCTGCCCACGGGGCCTAAACCCACTGTGAGTCTGGGGCTTGGCAGGGGGATCAGGGCCTCTGGCAGGGAGGAGGCTGGCCCGGCAGTGGCCACGTCCGGCAGCTTTTCCTCCCCGAGATGCTGCATCCTGCCTGTGCACCCCTTCCCTGCCGGCCACCACGCCAGGGCCAGGCACCGGCCAGGGCCACCGACACCAGCGCTGCTACAGCCACCCTGCTCTGCTAATGATGCCCCCAAGCAGTCCGGGACAGAGAGGCATCATCCTGCCCTGCTTTGGAGCTCCAGCTGTGAGCTGGAGGTGCCAACAAGGACAGGATCCCACAGGCAGGGCTTATTGAAATGAATTTAATATCTCATGTTGCAGCAAAATTAAAAATATACAAAAAGTTTGTGGTATACAAAAAAGTCTCGGGACGGACCCCGGCCTCCCGCTCGCCCCCGCCCGCACCGAGGGTCCCAGAGAAGAAGGTGGCACACAGAGTATTTACAGTACGTGACAGCAGCCACCAGGCCCCAGCGCTGGGGGTTCAGGGATGTGGCTGAGACCCCGCGGCAGCCCCTGCCAGAACGAACTTTTCTCACTCCCTGAAGCTGGAGCAGCCCTGCTGCCACCCCTGGCCGCCACCCCAAGGGGCCAGAACCCCGCCATGCCCAGTGGGAGCTTGAGCACCCCTGGAGCTGTGCCCATCCTCGGCCCCGGCTGTGCCCCGCTGTCATCCCAGAGGGCAGGAGCTGCCACCCCGATGGGGGACAGGGCGCTGGGTTTGGCTTCCACTGTGGTACAGGCTGGGTGGGGGAAAGGGGGGTGGCCTGGAGCAGGAGTGAGACTGAGGGGTCCCCCCAAACCCCCCATGTGGCCAGACTCCTCTGCCCAGAGCAGCCCAGGGCTGAGGGTACCGTGGCTTGAGTGCATAGAAAAGTGTCCCTCTGACCCACCAGCGTGGCCCTGGGGTCCCCCACAAACCCCATCATGAAGGGCATGCCCAAATGGCATCTCTGCCCTGGGGTGGACAGGGGCAGGGGGAGCCCAGAGGAGCTGCCCCGTGCTGGCACACAGTCCCCATGTGGCCCATCCCCAGATCCTCTGTGAGCCAGACCCAGGGAGGAGCTGCCACAACCTGGGCACCATTCAGGAGCTGCGGTGACACTGCAGTGGTGAGCCCCCGGGCCAGCCTGGCACCCCTGACTGCTGCCCCCACCTTCCCTGAGGAAAAGAGACCCTGCCCCAGAGCCGCCCCACGCTGGGGCTGCCCCAGCACGACCAGCACACACCACCGGGGGCTGCCCTGATGGCAGTGAAGGAGGAGTGCAGGTGGCAGGGGCCCAGCCCACTGCCCAGCCCCAGCCATACTCTGCACCCTCCTCCTGAAGGGTTTCCAAGGCTTCCAGTTAGCACCAGTTAGCACCAGTGAACCCAGCGATGGCCAGCCCAGCCTGCTGTCACTCCAGCTACCAAGAAATGGGAAACAAAAGCAACGTGATGCCACCACCACTGCCACCACACACCCTTCCACCCTGGCCGTGTCATAGGGCCGGGCACCCACACTGGCCCCCAGGGACCCCACATCCCAACCATTCCCAGGTGCAGCTCTCCCATCCCACCCCTCCCATCCTCTAGTACCTCACACGGTGCCCCATGGCACAGAGGGGCTCTCGGTGCTGCCCACGCTCCCCAGCCCGGGCAGGGCTTGGCACTGTGGCTCGGGGCAGCCAGAGGCTGGAACCCTTTGGAGCCACGGTGGGGGCACAGGGGAGGCAGGGAAGGCACAGGGGCCGTGGGTGTGGGGGGCAAGGGGGGCAGCACAAGGCTGGGAGGTCCAACAGCTCCCCTACCCTGCCAACCCCTGCCAGCCCCAGCACACACTCACACACACACACACACACACACACACACACACACACACATGCACACAACCCCCAGGACAGTCCCGGCCTGGGGGGCACAGGGTACATTCAGCCCAGCCCCTCAGTGTGGGCCGGTGGATCTGGGCAGGACCAGGGAAACATTCAAAGCCAGAGCCCAAGCAGCCCCACTCCTCTGGGGAGGCAGGAGCAGACAGGGGCAGGCGGGGCAGAGGCTGGGGACAGGAAGGGGAGAGGCAGGGGGAGGGAAGGTCCCAGCTCAGGTTTATACTGCAGAGCTGGAGGGGGGTGATGCTGATGAAAGAGTGAATGGAAATGCTCCCGGGAGGGAAGGGATGCCAGCCCAGGAGAGGAGAACAGCTGGGGGTGAATCCCACTTTGGGGAATCCAGGGAACGCCGGCGGCCCCGCAAAAACCCCTCAGTGGTGCCAGCCAGGCCCTGCCACCCCCGGCCCCAGCGGAGGTAGAAAATGTCACACAAAATGTCACCATTCAGGTGAAAACAAACCCAATGAGATGAAGCAGTTCCTGTGGGGATGGGGGAGAGGATGGGGTGCAGCCATCCTGGCTGCAGCTGGGGTGCAAGGTTCATGCCCACCCAAGAGGGGCCCCCCAGGCCAGGGTCTACACCCCACAGGATATTGGAGACCCCATGGAGCTGGGAACATGGCTCAACCCTAAGCCAGGGGGACTGAGGATGGATATGAAGGGCTCACTTCAGGTTGGTGTGGCAGAGTGTGGGGGAAATGGGACACATGGTGGGGGACTGAATGGACCCCGGCTGTCCCTGCCCCAGCTCCCTGGGGGTCACAAGCCCCACGTACACCCCAGCGAGGCCATGTTCCATCCCCACGGCTCTGCCGTGGCACAGGCACCTGTGTTCACGTGTGCTGCCCACCGTGCCCTACCGTGCCCCTGGCAGCTGCCAGCCCCCACCCCAGGGTGCCCCCGGTCCCCATCCTGCACCACCGATATGCTGATACGGGCCACCGCACCCACCGCCTGGGCTCAGGCACCGGTGAGGTATTTTGGCAAGGACGAGCCCCGGAGGGCGTGGGGGCGGCCGCGGTCGGGTGGGACGGGTCTGGGCTGCGGGAAGGCAGCGCGGGGAGGGGATAGCACCAAGAGACCTCCCCGGCCACCTCCCACGAGATGCTTGGCACGGCGACGCGGCAGCGCCGGCAAACCCAAAGGAAGGCAAACAGCTGTGGAGACACAGGGTGGCCTGGTGGCACCGGTGCTCCCGCCGCAGCCTCACGCCCCGCAACCTACACGGTGGTCTCGTACTCCAGCACCTCCTGCGGGGCGCCGGGGGTGCGGTACTGTAGGCGGGGGGTGGTGGGCGAGGCGTACTCCAGCGCCAGGATGGTTTTCCGCAGGCGCCGGTCGATGAAGTGGGCATCCCAGGCCGGGTACTTCTTCCTGGGCAGGTCAATGCGGATGACGGGCCCCTCTGTCCGCGGGGCGCGGGCGGCCGGCGCCGGCGGGGCGCAGGGTCTCACCTGGAAGACGGGCACGCAGCTGTCCCGCTCCCCCGGCGCCCCGTCCCGCTCCCCCCCTGTAGTCCGCGGCAGCGAGCGCGGCGGGCTGGTGACGGCTTCCACGGGGGACCCCGGCACCGGGGGCGGCTCCTGCCGGAAGATGCAGCCCACGGAGCGGTGGCTGAAGATGGGGCCGTTGGGGTGCAAGAGGCAGTAGTAGATGAACATGAAGAAGATGCCGAGGGCGAAGCTGGAGCTAACCACGCAGACGAGGATTAAGGCGTTGAAGTCGGAGGTGGCCTTGCGGTCGTAGTACAGGAACCAGAGGATGGTGAGGGCGGCGTTCTCTGACAGCGTGATGATGTAGTAGATGCACATGCGGTAGCGGCTCCGTCCCTCCTTGACGTTGAACCAGCAGAAGATGTAGATGATGCCCACCACCATGTTGTAGATGATCTCCTCCCACTTGGACATGCAGAAATCCGTCTCGCCCTGGATGATCCAGAAGGTCATGATGCACCAGTGGGTGACGATGAAGATGCCGAAGTAGAGCTGGAACACGGAGGCGAAGAGGGCAAAGGCGATGGCACGAGCGGCGATGGTGAAGAGGTGCCAGAGGATCTGCACCACGGCGCCCTTGTAGGACATGGGCATCTTGTCCTCCCGCGAGTCCCGCAGCACTTTCTGGTAGGACGCGATCATCCAGGCCAGCGAGACCAGCGAGGCCGAGGCTGAGAGTCCTGCGGGGAGCGGCCATGAGAGCCCACAGAAGCCAGGGACCTCCCTCCCCCCTCCCTGTCCCCTGCAGGCGCTGTCCCTTACCCTGCAACGGCTCGATGTTGTTCTGCTGCACCATGATGCTGAGCTGCAGCACGAGCTGGGGCGCGCTCTTGAGGAAGGCCTCCAGCAGCCGCAGCATGCTGATGTCCGCGCTCTCGAACATCATCCGCCAGTAGAAGTGGCGGCGGCGGTGCTCGGCCTGCCACCGGCTCTGCAGCCCCAGGTACAGCGTGCGGAGGTACCTGTGCGAGGCAGGGGAAGGGTGAGACGAGCCCACGCTGCCAGATGAGCTCACCCCACTCTGTCCTCTCCAGGAATGCCCTGTGACTCCTACTAACCTGTTCCTGCTGATTTGGGAACGGAAAGCCCCCTGGACCAGGGGTGCCAGGAGCTGCAGGGCAGCAGTAATGATGAACGCATCCCTGTCCCAGGCCAGGGTTACAATCTGAGAAGGGGCAGCTTGTGCAAAGCCAGCTCAGAACCCCAGAACCCCAGGCTATCGCCACGCTGCCCATCCAGCCATACACTGCCTACCCATGCATCATCCCAATCCTTAACCACCCATGCAGGGTCTGGCTTCCCCCAGCCAGGGATCCCATCCACAGCTTCACTTTCCAGCCACCCAGTGATTCAGGCTGCCCCAACCCAGCACCACATCCGGCTGCTTCTCAAAAGGGATATTTTGGTCCCAGCTGGCGCAGAGCCCACCCTGCTTCCTCCTGCCCCGGCCAGGATGGAGGAACCAGCTGGTTGTGCCGTGCTGCCCACAGGAAGCTCCTGGCGCTCATGCCGGTGTTGCCTGGGCTCTTGGCAGGGCTGTGGGCGCAGCCACATGCTGGCCCTGGCCATCTGGTCATCGGCTGGGGGTCAGGGGAGGTGTGCGTGTCACCGACGCACGCCGGGCTGAGTCACCGCCACCAGGGACCCTCCCCGTGGCACCGGGCCAGATCTGGCACCACGGGAGGGGACGCAGGGCTGGCCAGGCAGGGCTTCCCCGGCCAGGCCTGCCCGCACCATGGCCAGGGCTCTGCTGGCGAGGAGGAGAAGGGAGTCGGGTGAGGAGGAAAACAGGTGCAGCAGGAGGACATCAGGCCACAGATTCCTCCCAGAGAATAAAATCCTCTGGCAGAGCAACGGCTTCTCCATCAGCTCCAGAATGTGCTGCCAGACAACTCCATCAGCCCAGAGCATGGGAGAAAGCCTGATCGCAGCACTTTCAGCTCATCCGTCAGCAGGAGGAGGCAGGAGCCAGCCCTGCTCCCGCTGCAGGGACAGCAGAGTGCTCCCATCCCCGGGGCTGCACAGCCCGGAGAGCACAGTGAGGGCCACCAGCTGGGGCCACCGAGCCCTCAGGACACTCTGCTGCCATCTGCTCTGCCCTGCCAGCCCCACTCCCAGCCCTCACCGGCTTCTCTGTGCTGGTGTCAAAGTGACGTTTTAACCTCCACCTCCGGGGCAGCACCTAATTTTAGCCTTTGCTGCAGCCTGTCCCTCACTGCTTGGGGTGGGGAGAGGCTGTGGCCACCTGGCTCCTGGCTCCCGGCACAGATCTGCAGCCCAGTGCCACCTGCTCACGGCAGCCAGGCTGGTGCTGCCATTGGGGCACCACCAGGGCCACAGTCCCTCAGAAGGGCCTGGTGAAGGATCCTCCTCTCTGGTGGGGAGCAAACCAGTGGGCAGCCCAGGGGTGGAAGGCACAGCACGGGGGAAACAACAGGGGAAGCAATGTAAAGCCCTGGCTGCTGTAGGACACCACGGCTGTCCCAGGGTGCCCATGCATGAACCAGGCTTGGGAGCTGGTGACCTCATCCTGTCCCTGTAATTAGTCTTGATAATTGGGCTCATCAGTGATCCCACTGTCCCTGGCACAGAGAAGCCCCCTCACACACTCCAGAGCCCCAGCCCTGGGGTCCTGCCCTGTTCAACAAGTGACCCGTGGCCTCCCCAGCTTTCAGCAAGGGCACAATTATCCCTCTGTCTGCCAGCTCCATAGGTCTCATTAAAATGAGATTTCATCTCCCATCAACTCGCCCGAATGAAATGTTGATTCTTATTTGTTCTGCATTTGATCATCCCGTGGTGTTTCAGCCCAGCGAGCGATCCCGGCGCTGCCAGCACGGCGGGCGCTCCCCAGCCCTGCGCCACGGCAGCTGCACGGGAAACACAGAATCAATCACTTGAAAAAAAATCATTTAATTTTCAAAAAAACTGATGATGAGGCAGAAACCGACAGCGAGAGCTCTCAGGGCTAATTGCTCCCTCCTTTGTATTGCAAAGAGTGATCCGACAAAAACCCTGCAGCAGGAAGGTGGTGGCTTGGTTGGGCACTGGTTTTGTCAGAGCCCCACTACTGGTGACAAGCTGGATTTGTCACCAGTGTCACTGTTTGCCCCCAGCTCCCAGCTACTGAGCCCAGTTTTCAGGTGTTGGAAAAAAATGAATGAGGAGAAAAGCCCAACCCTGGTTACAAACAAATCCCCTAATCATCAGCCTCAGATGGAAAAGGATGAGGGACCCTCTGGTCCCAGAGTGAGCCATGGGAAGTGTGATTTTCCTAGAAGATAATTTGGGCTCTCATCCCTTAATCCTGTATTTAAACAAGGAGAAAATTACTTCTCTGTTACAGCCATTTTAATCCCTTACACATCCTACCAAGTCAGGTCATCAGGGAGAGCTGCACATGTGCCATGTCACCGCACTCACTGGTCCCACCAGCCCCACACCCCAAGATGCCCTGGCTACTCGGGACAGATGGAAGTACCTGAGGGCACCTGTCCTCAGGGAAAGGCTTTGTCTGGCCCTAAAACCCCCTTGTCCTTTGCATCAGGGCCAGGTGGGATCCGCCAGCACTGGGTCCTGCAGCAGAACAAGCTGACACCCCAAAGCTGAGTGTTCCCAGGGCTGGGAGGGTTTCTGCCCCTACACAAACAGAGCAAAGCTCTAGGGAGCAGAGTGGTGGGGAAACCTGCAGGTCACAGCTCTGCCACCCCTCATGAGCCCACCCAGGATGACCTTGCTCTCCTGGACTGCTGCCAGACTGGCACCAGGACTGAGGGGTGGCACTGGGTCCCCAGGCCAGCAGAGGATGGGGGTACACAGGCTGATGGGGGCTTTCAGAAAAAGAGGGAACTGCTGGGCTGGCCCCAGGGACCCCAGGCAGCCAAACCTGTGTGACCCTGGGCTAACACAGACACAGGCACAGATGGGGCTGTCCCCAGCCCAGTGGGACCTGCAGCACACCCTGGCCAGCCCACGGAGGTGGCAGGGGACCCCAACATGCTTCTGGGCAGGAGGCACACTGGCATGTGCAGCACCCCTGCCCTGCAGAGCTGCTTTGGTGAAGAAGCTGAGGACTTTGTGAGTGGATGACAATTTCTGAGCTGCAAAACCATCCAAGCATGGCCCAGAAGTACAGTGGTGGTGTGGAACCAGCTGGGGACAGACCCATGCTGCTGCTGCTTACACGGGCACATGGTCATGCCACCGGCAGCATCTCCAGAGACCACCCGTGATGGAACTTGTGCATGTGCACCATGAATATACCAATGACAGCTAACTTCAACAGATTTAATTAGGGATAACCACAGAGCCAGTGCTCAGGGCTGCTTTTGAAGTGGGAAGTAGCTTTCTTTTTGGGGATTGGGTGGGGTCTTTATCAAAGGTGTGGCTCGGGGCTGTGCAGTGAGGTTGGTAGAGGTAACATCTGCAGAGAGAGGGAGGAGGCAGGTAAATCAGGAAGGGGGAGATGTTTGGCAAGGGGCACAGTGCTCTGACCAGGGAAAATCCTTTCTTTAACCTGCAGCACTTATCCAAGCCTTCTCTAACTGCCACATCCTCCTGCACCGGATCCAACCCCACTAATGGGTTTAACAAACTGCATTTAACTGGTCACCCGAACTAATCCCAAATCCAGAGATTAGAAAGAGCCTCAGCTGCTGCTTGAGACCAACGTGTCCTGGAGGGTGAGTGCTGAGAGTTACCGCTTTAATTGGCTTAGGAGTCTCCATGGTGCAGCCGATCCAAGAGCGGGACTGACACCCCCAGGAGCAAAGCCCCTGGCTGCGGCTCAGCTCCAGCTTGGGCTGGGATCAGGTGTGTCAGGCTCACGCCAGCCGCAGGCAGGGCCAGAGAGCTCCTGTCCTCTCCCTCACCAGCTCCCCTCGCACACCAAAGCAGGTTTTGCACCCACCCTGCAGCCAGAGTACCCTGAGAGTGGCCCCACGTCGGGGGGTGGGGGAGGGCAGGTGTGCTGGTAGGTGTGCTGAGCACGGCACACGCTGCGCTGTCAAACAAAGTTAAACACCCCGGAGCATCCCAGAAGGAGCAGCAGAGGAATGAACATGCAGACACCAGGAGTGAACGAGCAAAGAGCTTCTACTCCAGCACTTGGGAGGGGAAACAGGATGGAAACCCGAGCGGGGAGTGCTGCTGGCTCCACGCATTGTTCCGGGCATTGCCTTTGTCTGCCCTCCTGGCACCAGCTCCTCAAGAGCCACTTGGTGCCAGTGTCTGGCTCTTCCCCAGTGCGTGGGGCTGGAGCTGGGAGGGCGTGGGGCTGGGTCTGCAGCACAGAGGAGGAGGGTGCCAAGAAAACATCACCTTGAGCAGCTGGGGTGTCTGCAGAGAGGAGGATGAAGGGCCTGGAGCTGTCCCAGCCTGTCTGTCTGCTGCTTTCCCTACCCACACCACCAGCCTGTCCCCAGGACTGGCATGGGGCAGCAGCAGAGCCTGGACAGGCTGGGAACCACCAGCACCTCCTTGCCCACCACTCCACAAATACAAGTGAGATCAGGACAGGAGCCTCAAGGTGTTCAGGGCCCAGCATAATCACTTCACACCCCTAGGACCACACTGCCATGGCCAGGCAAGTCCCCAACAGGCCCAGCACCACCTGGCAGCAGGAATGGTAGGGCTGTGGCACCGAGCTGGGCTGCAGCTCCTCACCCGCACCCACAGCTCCTACCCACACCCACAGCTGCTACCCACACTCCCCTGTGCCTAGGGCTGAGAGCTCTTCTCTACCACCCATCTTTCTGGGGCTGCAGAGAGACTGATCCCTGTGCCTACCCCAGCTGTCTGGGCCCCTTCTTCACCTCTCCATCCCCACCCATTTCCCCATGCCCTGCCAACCCCTCCTGAAGTCTCTATGCTGTTATCCCCACCCATGTCCCTGCTGCGCTGTGCCGCTCCCTCCAGGCCAGGCCTGGCTCCATGACCCCCATGTGCCCCCCTCCCCCTGTACCTCCAGCCCCGCCTGAGCTTTAGCAGGCGGATCAGGCCCTGCAGCAGCCCCATCCCAGCCCCCTGTACCCTCACCCCCAGGTACCCTCGTACCTCCAGACCTGCCCCAGCTGCACCAGGTGTATCAAGCCCAGAAGCATCCCCATCCCCTCAGCACCCCTATCACCCCAATACCCCCACACCTTCCCATACGGCCGCACCTGCCCCAGCTGCAGCAGGTGAATCAGGCCCTGCAGCCGCTGCATCCCCGCTGTGCCCCCACCCCTCCAGGCACCCCCACGCCCCGGGTACCCCCGTACCTCCAGACCTGCCCCAGCTGCAGCAGGTGGATCAGGCCCTGCAGCAGCCAGACGCAGAGGCGGCAGCAGCCGCGGGGGCCGCTGTCCTTGGTGCCGCCGCCGCTGTCCTTGGTGCTGGCGGCGAAGTCGTAGACGAACCACCTGAGGCTGAGCATCTGCACCACGAGCGAGGGCAGCAGCACGAACAGCAGCGTCAGCCCGAACCACCAGCGCTGCCCCCGCACGTAGTAATGGGCCGCCAGCCACAGGTCCGAGGCACCGTCCGCGAAGCAGACGAGGAGCGCGCAGAACACCCAGCACCCGTCCCGCAGCCGGTACCGCCGCGCCGGCGGCTCCGCGCCCGCCTCCCGCCGCCCGCCGCCGCCCTCGGGGCTCTCCAGCAGCACGGCCGGGCCGCCGCCGCCGCCGTCCGACTTCGCGGCCATGTTGTCGGGGGAAAGGAGGAGAAAGGAGGGAGCGGGAGAGACTTCCGGAGGGATGGAGCCCGCCCCGGCAGCGCCCGCCCCCGCCGGCCTCGCCCCGCGCCCGCCGACACCGGCTCCCCCCGCCCGGCGCCGGGAGCCCCGGCGGGTCCCGCCGCTCCCCGCCGGAAGGGGCAGCCGCCCCCCCGCCGGCGCCGCGGGGTCCCGGAGGATCGCTCGGTGCCGCCGGCGCCGCCCCGCGCTGGGAAGGGCGGCCGGCCCCTCCCCCGAGCGGCCCCCACCCCCCGGTCCCCGCCGGTAAAACCGCCCGGACCCGCCGAGCCCCGCACGGTGCGCCCCGCCCCGTCCCGGCGGAACCACGCTGGCCGTGCTGTCCGACCACCCCTTCCCAGCCCACCGGGTACCGGAGCTTCCCGGGAAGCTCCTGGGTAGCCCCGCGGCCCCCCAGCCCCGAGGCTCAGTCCAGGCAAGACCCTGCCCGTGAGTCCAGGCTTGGGCCGAGGTCCGGGTGGGTGGGGGCGTGGGTGCTTCTTCTCCCCTTGGGCTGAGACACGACCGCAGACCTCCAAAGCCCTGCCCGATGCAGCCAGAGAGGCCAGCAGGGACTGGCTGGGCTGCACCTGAGCCCTGCTTTGGAGGGAGAGTCATAGAATCATCATAGGATGGTTTGGGTTAGAAGGGACCTCAAAGATCAATTTGTGCCAACCCCTTGCCAAGGGCAGGGACATCTTCCACTAGACCAGGCTGCTGAAAGAAGTTGTATCCTCTTTGAGAAGACCAAAGATGGGGTTTGGGAGTAGGCTTTCGTTGTTCCCGAAATGAAACTCGTGAAAGAGTTACATATGTTATTCCCCAGCCTTGGGAATGTCCCTGAAAGTGAAGTACCAAGGCCACTGGAGTTTGGGTGCACAAGAGCCCTGACGCTGCCCCGCTCCGGCGCTCCACCTCTCCGCTCGCTGCCCGCGGCAGCTCGGACACAAGGTGTCGGGCAGAGCGAGGGGCCGCGCCCCGGGACAGGAGCTCAAAGGAGGAGCAGCGCTGTGCCGGCATCCCTGGCACTGCTGGGCGGGAAAGGGCTGCGAGGGAAAGGGCTTCCTCTCCTTTGTGGCGGGTCTCCAGGGAGGGTGACTGCATACAGCAGCTGCCTCCTGGAGGCAGCCCCAGCCCCCAGCCCCCGAGGCTCAGCCTGGTGCCTCTGCCTGCGGAGGAGCCCGGCTGGAGCCCGACCCGTGGTCAGCACGCCGTGCCACATGGAGAGGAGGAGGGTGTTTGATCCCGGGAAACACAGCTAACTTCCAAATCCTGCCTTGTAGGATGGCCAGAGGGATCAGCACAAACCGGGGGTGGGGTAAGCCTGCGTTCCTGGGATGAAATCCAGGGGGTGAAGATGTTACTCAGCACAAGGCAGTGGCCGGGCCCTCGGCAAGGCTCTCCCCGTGCTGCATGTATTAGCATCGATAATGAAACACCTCACCTTGAGATGCTCCTGACAGATCCCCTCCACAAATGCCTGCCTGGGGGAGGGGATGCTCCCAGCATCCCAAAGCCTGAAGAAAGCAGCCTTTCATCAACAACCAGGCAGGGCAGGGCCCCTTCCAAGGATGGGGTCCACTGGCCAGAGCCCCTGTCAATATTTGGCCACTCCAGACCTCTTTGGGCTTGGTCCCTGGGGGCTCTCTGTCTTGGCTGGGTGATGGAGCACAGACCACGTTACCATGACGGTGGGCACAGCGCCAGGGAGAGGGGACTTGGAAATCAGGGAGAGACAGACCCACCTTTCTCCCCTGACCCTGAAACACCCCCTCTGAAGCAGCAGTTAAAGATCCACAGCCTGAGAACATGGAGACCGTGGTTTGAAGTCTGATTTATCTTAACAACAGGCCCCAGCAGCCACATGAAAGAAGAAGAGAGAAAAAAAGCCTTATAAACATCCCTGAAGCTTCCTGTGCAGCTGCCAGCAGGCAGGGAGGGTTTCTGGCTGCATACAGAAAAGGGCTGCAAGGAAGAAAAAGGAACATGATGAAACCAAACCTGCTCTTTCCACAAAACATACAGCAAAGCAAAGCAGCTCCCGGCAGCGGGTGGGTGGCTGCTTCCCCTGAGTGCCCAGTTCCCAGGGGAACTGGTCCAAATGGACCTCTGGTTCCAGTTTGAGTCCAGCTTCCAAGCAGAATGTCTGCCCCTGGCGCTGGCTCCAGGAGGAGAAATCCATGATGATTTGTGGCTGGCTCAGAGCTGGCTGGGGAGAGGCCGCAGAGTGCAGCGCCAGCCACTTCTCACTGCCCTGAGAACGTTTTCCAGATGCCCATGGCTTGGCGATCCCTCAGCTGTGCTTCCCCCATGCCTGTGCTGAGCTGGACCCCACTTTCCCAGGGAGAGCAGCCCCCGCCCTTCCATGCAGCCCAACATTCCTGGCAAAACCCTGTCTTCACTGCACTGTCATTGGCAACCCCAGAGTCACTGCTTCCTTCCACTGCTGCCAGGACACAGCCAGCCTGCTCCCATCCCTGTTCCCATGTCACATCTCATCCCCATCCCCATCCCCATCCCCATCCCCATCCCCATCCCCATCCCCATCCCTCCTGCCCAGACTCTGAAAGCCCTCCCTCCTTCCTGCTTTTTCAGATCTCCAGCCAGCTGCTCCCACCGACAAATGAGCATTTCCTAGCATTGGCATCCAGCCCCAATCCCAGTACATTTTCTGGTTGATGTCAGGAAGGAATCTAACCCGAGTGTGGATCATTCCCAGCCTGGAGTGCCTGTGTGTGCCCCAGCAGTGGCTCCCACTGCTCCCCTGAAGCTTCTGTACTTCATTTGATGCAGCCACAGACAGAGATCTCAGTTAACTGAAACAAATGATCTTATGGGATTAGGGCCAGTAATCTTCCGATCTGGGTAATCTCCCTTAAGGGATTATTTGCCCACAGAAGTGTGGTGACCACCAGCCAGCTGCTGCCTTTCTCTCTCCATCCCTGTCCCCTGTGGTCCTCATCTCTGGCAGCTCAGAGGGGCCACAGCAGTGGGGTCACCACCTTTGCAGAGGTCCTTGTCAAATGAGTTTCATGAAGTGCATGTGCCAGGGCCCCCAAGTGCTGGGGTTCCTCCTCTCCCCAGCCCCTATTTGCTGCTTCAGGCAGGTTCTTGGGGGTCCCTCCCTTTGAAGCACTGATCTAAAGCAGATCAGAGGTCCCCCCACTATCACCAGGAAAGCAGCAGCTGGGGGGCACAGCCAGGGTGGCAGAGATGGACAGCTGGGGACAGGGCTGCATTCAGAAACTTGAGATGCTGTTTCAAGGCTCTGTCCAGAGAAGGGACATGGGACATGAGAACCCATGTGCCCTGTTACCCGCCAGCCCTGGGTGTGCTCCTGGGGCCCCTTTCCCTCTGCAGAGTGCACACGGTGAGGGTCTGCCAGTCCTCACCATCAGTGCTGTGTCTCTGCATCTCCCACACCCCATTTTTGCAGCTCCTCTTGCTCATGGCTGGGTGGGGCAGAAAGAAAGGGATAAAAAGGATTTTGAGTGGCAATATATTTGCCTTCCTGCAGGCAGGGGTGTTCAGAGCAGCAGATGGATATGGTCGCCTGCCAGAGCATTCCCGGGACTAGCCCTTGCCTGACACAGACTGGGGGGCACCGGGGCTGGCTGAGGGTGAGTCAAGCTGCCGGGACCACAATTGGATCCAGTCCCTGGGGATGGCAGGTCCTGGACGCTGAGCTACAGATGAGCCACCAGCTGCACGAAAGGAAACCTGAGCTAATCGCCCCTCTCTGAGTGCCCTTTATTGCTTTCTGGGATGACAGAGAGGTCACCTGATGCTCCAAGGGCCCAGCTGCCAACAGCGGCACCGTGCTGGGAAGCAGCGAGGAAGAGGAGACAGACGGCGGTGCTGGGGGCGAGGGGATGGGCTGTGAAAAGTGATAAATAATTCACACACAAAGGGACCAGGCAGGCCAGGGCTCTCAGCCCCTGTCCCTCAGGGCTGTGCCGAGCGGTGTGGGTTGGGGGCCGGCGGCGGGGCCGAGACCCCCACTCCGGTGCTCGGTGCCACGCGGCCACACCGAGCCCTCCATCCTTCTGCCGGGCACAGAGGCAGCGCGGAGCCAACCGCGGCACCGCTAGTCCGCACTACGGAGCAGACCCCGCGCTGGCAGCGGGCACGTCCGTGCCAGTGCCAGCCCACGGCCGTTCCCGGCCGCTCTCGCCCCACGCGTGTTCGCGGCCCGTCGGTCCCGCCGCTCCCCGGCGGCGCTCCCGGCGGCGGCCGCCAGAGGGCGCGCTGAGCCCGGCGCCTCCGCCGCGGAACCGCCCGCGCGGCCGCGGCGGCGGCCCGGAGCCGGACGGCGGCGGACCCGGAGCGGCCCCGCTCGGCCCCGCCATGGCCCGGGACCCGGCCTTCGTGCTGCGCTACCTGGCCGAGGTGGAGGAGCTGGCCGAGGACGTGCTGGCGGCACGGCAGCAGGTACGGCTCGGCTCCGGCGGGCCTCCCCCGCCCCGCTCTGGCCCGCCGCCGGTAGCCCCGAGTCCCGGCCGCTCCCGCCTCTCTCGCTCCCGTTGCAGATCGTGGACCTGGACGTGAAGCGGAACCGCAACCGCGAGGCCCTGCGGGCGCTGCACAAGGACCCGGAGCCCGACGGTGAGGCCGGGCGGGCTGCGCCCACCGTGACCTCGTGGCCGCGGGTCGGGCTCCGCTGACAGCCCCTTCCCTTCCCTTCCCTTCCCTTCCCTTCCCTTCCCTTCCCTTCCCTTCCCTTCCCTTCCCTTCCCTTCC